AATAATAATATTTGATAATGTTATTTGGAAATCTATATATAGTAATGGTAGATTGAAGAGTTTTTCATTAGAAATAAAAATGATTTTGTTTTGTTTTTCTAAATAAATGTATTTTAAAATTAGAATAATTTTTATGAGTTCATAAGTGTCACATTTTATAAAAATCAACATTAAGAATACTATCTAAAATCATAATATATGTTAAATTATATATATAGAAAGAGATTTTTGTATTTTTCAAATGGTCAAGATAAAGTGCAAAATTTCACGTTGAAATTCTATGTTTGTGAATAGGAATGAGTCCATATATGAGATTTGTTTTCTATAAAGCAATTTTAGATGCACCAAAACATGGTAAAAAAACACCTTATAACAAACATCTCCTCAGATTTCTTTTTTGATGTTCACTTTAATAAAAAGATCATGAAACTTATTTAAAAAATTGAGTATTGAATGATATGAAGGAGAAAATAGAAACGATCTAAGGAGAAAAGAGAAAAGATGTCGGGAGACGACGAGTGAATCATAAAAGAAAACGAGAAAAATTATAGTAAAAAATGTGAGAAACTTTTTACTACTTTGGAAAGATAATGCACATGAATTAAAGTAAAATCTTTTAAAATTCAATTGATTATATTTATACTCAAAGAATAAAAGTTTACAATTAAATCCCGCGCGTGCGCTGGTACACCATCTAGTTTATATAATCACGAGATTCACGACACTGCCATTTTCTCGTGTCACTTTCTTACTGAACTCTTAAATATTTAACTAAATAACGTCGTTATATACTAGGCAAATTTTTTTTTTAATATAATTTATATATAACATTTAAATAAATCACGTTGTTATATAATAAAATAAATAAATATTCTTATATTTGTTATTATTATTATAATTAACTAATTAAATAAAGTTGTTATATACTAGAAAAATATTACGTCATTATATACTAGACAAAATCTAATTTACTTTTTTGAAAGATAATATTATGTACAAGAAAACATTTTTAATATATCTTTCTAAATCATTAATAAGTAATGTGGTACATAGATAATAAAACCTTTAGATTTATTTGCAAAACGGTGGTAAAATCAATAAATGGATTATGTTTCGTGTGTATTTTAATTGATGGTATATTATATGATATTATGTTATTTGTAAGAAACATCCCCGAAATTAACATCTAATTTATTTACAGTTTTATCATATTTTGCAAATAAACCTCAAAATTTTGGCTATCTACCAAATAAACCTAAGTTTGGCTATCTAACTATTTTTTGGGACTAGGTTGAAGATAATTATATAGTTTTGTATCTATGGAATATTCGATTTCGTACTTTAGTTTTAGTGGCCAACTTTGTACTAAATAAGGCAATATTACGTTCACAAACGTAAACTATATTTAACCGGACTCTCTAGCTCTGGTGGTAAAGGACCCTTAGCTGAGGTACCCGCCATCACGAGTTCGAGCCCTGGCCATTGCGGTATTCACATACGGGCTGCAGCGTTCCAGGAACCAACACGTGGAGTGCCATTTGGCCAACCACGTGGCCAGTCTGATGCGAACCGATAGTCTAACACGTGGATCCCTGCTCTGTCGGGTATCCGATAGCTAACACGTGGACCATGCCTTGTCGGTAAGCATTGGGATATTTGGGTTATCAAAAAGAAAAAGAAAAAAAAACTATTTCGGAATGGTCTATAGTGGGCATGTATATGAAGTAGCGACGGTCCATGAATTTCCTTCTTCCCTTCGCACGGAACAAAAACGTGTTATATACTAATATGTAAAATATAGTTTCATGTCAATCACATTATCTCTCAGTCTCCTAATGTGAAATACACTAATGATACCGTTAATCTCTATAATATTTTGGTAAGTATATTATATAGTCTCTCAAGCAAAGTTGACATGTGCTATCTCGCAAAATCAAGTTGGTTATCTAATGCTACATATTAATCTCCAAATATATTTTAGGGAATTGTGAAGTTGCATGTGAGTTTCAACAAAATGCAAAAAGAATTTTTCGATCCAAAATCTACTCGTAAAACACAACTTATGTGTGATTCTGTTCTTAAGTGGAATGCAACATCTATTGTAATATAATAACACGATTCGTTTTATTATTTCTGACTAGAAAGAAGTGACGAAATGGATGTACATTCGACATTTCAATTTCACGATCTTTAACAAAAATTTTTTTAAAAAATTCGAGGGATGATAGCAATAATAAAAGAATGACGTATCGATCGTGAAATTGTGATTGTGAAGTTCTTGACCAATTGTATTCTTAAGGAATATGATGGAACGAATATAGAGTCACTTCGTTCTTTTCTTAGTGCTCACCATTCGTTTTTGTTGGAAAAGACAAAATCCCTTATCCACTGGTTATTAGTTTATCAACTAAAATCTTCCATTTCTATGAATGGATGCTCATAAAAGAATATTTAGCAATTTGTAGGAACCACTTGTACACTCCAAAATCGACATGTAGCTTATTGTTTTAGAATCACACTTTTTTTTGTCCATATTTTAGGATTTAATTAGAATAACATCGGAACTAATTTTTCTTACTTCTATAATTTATGTTGTGTCATTTGCAAGAGGGTCCGCCATTACAATATAATTGGTATAAGATGTCTATAACAAAGATAGAAGCTAAGTAGTGATTCATGTCTTAACCTATCGAAAAAAGAAGATAATAAAAATAGATAGAAAATCTAAAAAATATCGATCTTAATAATTTCTAAATTTCTTTGCCCAAAAAAAAAAAAATTTTATAAATTATCTCAAAATAAGTTTTAATTGAGTGCCGTTTTAAAAATCTTTAGTTGAGCTTGTCTCCATCTGAATAGAAAATTAATGAGAAAAGGAATAATTGTTGTCGTCATACTTCCAACTTCAAGTGGATTCTCGACGACATTTCAATAATACTCAAAAACTAATCTAATCCTTTCACTGAATAGAGTCTTGGTTCAAGAAAGATGGGCACTAAGTAGTAAATAAACAACTACAAAAATGATATCATTGCTTTAGGGAAATGATTGGATATCATTGGCTAATCCCAGCTAATATCTGGATTACATTGTCACGTCAAGTTTTTGTTTTTAACTCAACTCTAAGTTTATTAAATAATTACATTGTCACGTCAAATATTTCAAAGTTTATTATAAAATCATAATATAAAGTATGACAGGTTTTATATAATTTTTTTGATTTGGAAATCAATTTTATTTTCCTTTTCTTTTCTTATAACTCTATGTCCTTATATATATATTTTTTTCAGTATTCTACATGTGGTTTTCGAAACCGTCAAAGATCGACCAATGAAGAGTAAAAGAAGCTCAACCTAGAAAGAAGCAATCAAAATGATGACAAAATCACTCAACGTTCAAATAAGAAATAGTTCAAAAATAAGTGAAAAGTACAGAAAATTCCACAAAAGGATAAAATGAAAAGAAGATGAAGATTAACACAATGGTAGATTTAGCTACAAAATTATAAAAGTTAAAAATATTGTTGATTTCGTACTAGGTTTAAGATTGCGGAGGAAGTTCTTGAAATCATCCACCACATGTGAAGGAAGGTTTGCTGACTACTAACAGGGGAAGGGTCTCAATTGTAGGAATGAATGGAATTTGGAAGCTAAGGAAGAATGAATGGGTGAAGAGAAGTTTTGACTTGCCTGTTTTTCAAGATTTGCCTACATAGTGTCACATATAATGATTCTATATTTACTCTCAAGAAAGTTGAATCTCTACCAGTTGTGGTTGTTTATTGCAACAATTTGATCAAGACACAAATAAAGATAGAGATAACAAGAGGAGGCAATGGAGAGAAAATCTAGATTGGGTGCTCCTGCAATGTTTGTCCATCTCAATCTGAGGCTTTTCTCTTTATTTGATCAATCCTGTTTAATTAAGGAGCACCCAAAACTAATTAATTAAAGACCAGCCCCGATCACATGTACACAATTAAATGATTGTGCAAACTATATGTGTATACCATAAATGATAACTTGGCTAAACCGGTTAAAGTTTATATTATTATTGACTATAATAAACTTGACTTCAACTTAATCTCATGCCCTTTCTCTATTCCTTTTATTTTCCCAATATGTGACTATTTTTCTGATCATTCAAATTTATTATGACCTTGCTAAAAATATATAATAGGTTTGTCGCTAGTCGTCTATGTTTGTGAATGACTTGATTGTTTGGTTTGTACCCATGATTATTTGCATGGACAGAATTATCTGCACGATTTCTTTTGGTTTGGTGGTTGGGTGCATGGATGGATGGATATGGTTATTTTTGGACATGGCATGGAACGAATATGGTACGGTTATGGATATTTGAGTCATGAACGCAATGCCGGTCCGCTAAAATCCGGGGCCGAATACAAAAAAATGTTTTAGGACTTTTTCAAAAAGTAGAAACTTCTAAATTTTTTTTTTACTAATTATGAGGCATTTATAATTTTTATTTAATAATTTTTCTTAATTTTTAAAAATTGTTTGTTAATTATAGAATTTTTTTGCTAATTATAAGGTTTTTTTGCTAATTATGGAGCATTTTTGTTAATTTTAAGGTCTCTTTTACTAATTTTGAAGTCTATTTTATAATTATGAGGCCTCACAAAAAAAAAAAATCCTCAGAAAATGGGCCTCAGGAAATTTGAGATCCAATACAAATGATTCACCAAAATGGGTGAAGGGCCGGGCCTGCATGAACGAGTATGCATGGTTAAGTGCATGAATGGAATGTACTAAGTTTTCATCGTTTATTGATTGATAAGGATGATATGTTGTATTAGTCTAGAAGATATATGTTTTGTTAGCCATACACAAAATTCAAATCACTAAATCAGAGTGAGATCGATAACGAAGAAGCTAAGGAACATGACATATTGAAAAAGTTTACTGGGCCTTTTTGTTACGTAACCACACGAGGCCCAATTTAGGCCCAATATAAGGATTTGACTCTTAAGTACTTTAAAAGTTGACCCATACCAAAATTCCATCTTCAATCTCGAATCGATAACCCTAATTTGACGAAGCCGTTTCCGGTGCTTTTGGCTCCTCTCACTAGTCGTAGTTTCTTCAGGTAATTCCGATTCCTTAATCTCTCTCCGATCTGTTGAATCTTCGTTTACATGTGTTGGATCGAGATATTATACCTTCTCGTAGTCTTGGCTTTTTGTTTTTTGATGATTTTGTTAATAGAGAATTTGAGTTGTTGAATTTGATAGGTATGTCGCGTGTGTACGTTGGTAATTTGGATCCGCGAGTTACTGAGCGTGAACTCGAGGATGAGTTTCGTGTCTATGGTGTGATCAGGAGGTAAAGACATCATCGACTGATTCAAGCTTTTAATTCAATGTGAAGAGTGACTAATTTGTATTTCTTTTATGCAGTGTTTGGGTTGCTAGAAGACCACCAGGTTACGCTTTTCTTGATTTTGAAGATTCAAGAGATGCCAGAGACGCTATCCGTGAATTAGATGGTATTCGTTTTGGTCTCCGGTTCTGACTTTCTTATTACGGTGCAGCTGGTCTGATGTATGATCTATACTGTTATTATGGTAGGCAAGAATGGATGGAGGGTAGAGCAGTCTCATAACCGTGGTGGCGGTGGTGGTCGTGGAGGCGGCGGTGGTGGTCGTGGAGGAGGTGATGGTGGTCGTGGTCGTGGTGGTTCTGATTTGAAGTGTTATGAGTGTGGTGAGTCTGGTCACTTTGCACGTGAATGCCGCTCTCGTGGTGGTTCGGGTAGGCGTCGTAGCCGCAGCCGTAGTCGTAGTCCTCCTAGATACAGAAAGAGCCCTACCTATGGAGGACGGAGGTTATTATCCCTCTTTTTTTCTGATTGACGATTTTTAACTAAAATCAATTGTTCTAGCTCATTGATTCACTAACTACCTTGTCTTTTTGGTTCACAGGAGTTACAGCCCTCGTGCTAGATCTCCCCCTCCTCCAAGGCGTCGTAGTCCTTCTCCTCGTGGTCGTAACTACAGTAGGTCACCACCACCTTATAGAGCACGTGACGAGGTGCCATACGCTAATGGGTAAACTCCTTTTACTCTAGAGTCTATTGTTTCTCAATCAATATAAGACATTGAAACCGAACCGATGTCAAAGTAATTCATTATTTGTCGTCACATGCATTTTAATCCTTTTTGTTAGATGTTGTGTTCAATACTAAGTTTATGTGGCTGATAAGTTTTTGTATTTGTTTATGCAGAAATGGTCTGAAAGATGTGCGCAGAAGCCGGAGCTGAGTGTTTCTTGCCTAGATAGCAAGTTATGGGATCAGGAGAATACTGTTTGCTTGTGAGGTCAAGAGGACAGGGAAATTTGTATCTGTGAATTTCACTAAGAGAACATGTTTTAGCTGTGTGGTGGATTGGATATGCTTGCTACTTTTGAATTCCTGGGATGCATCTTATTGCGTTTGGATTATGAAGCCGTAGTTGTATCTGCCGTTAGGTAAAGTACTTTTAAATATCTACCCAAGTTCTTAAAAGACATAAACAAAAACTCTGCTAAAAACCTATGCATTTTCTTTGTTTTTCCTTGTTTTTGGTTCTATCGTCTCGAGGTTTCTTCGGGTTTCTACTGCTTCATTGCTTATCTGCTTTTGGCTTCTTGGCTAATTTGGTCGGCCTTCTATGGATCTTCATAGTAGTTTACCAACTACTTCTGCTTCATTGCTTAACTACTTCTCGCTTATTGGTTATTTTGATCCGCCTGCTTTGGGATCTTCATAATAGTTTACCACTTGTTCTGCTTCATTGCTTCTGGCTTCTTGGTTATTTTGATCGGCCTGCTTTTGGATCTTCATAATAGTTCACCACTACTCTGCTTCTGCTTCTCATCTAGATGCTCTCATGTTTGAAAACTTCATCAGCTCTGATGTTGTTGCTTCCAAAAACCTCTCTGGTCTTTCTTTTCTTGAACTTAGAATGGCCGAGGAGCTCCACTCGCTACTCTGGCAGGTACTTATTACCTTTCAGGCTTGGAAGAAACTTGTCTTACGGTGTAACATGTGATAATAGTTTAGACTTTAGAGTATGTAGAATGTCTCTACTTGGTTTGAGATGGGCACTTATGTTCTCCTTTTTAGTCCAAGTCTTGCTATGTACTATCTGCAGATAAACGCTTTATTGCCATTCGCAATAGTCATTGCTTTGGTTTCATCACGTTTGGATTAATCTTTAAACGAGAGATTTTTCTGCTCATTGGTTTCAATTTCGTCATGTTTTTTTTTTTTTAATTTACGGATCATTCTGGCTTTGTCGAAGGCTTTTGACTGTCCCCTCTTTTGATGCTTTGGTTTAAAACCCTTGTAAAAGGAGTGTAGATTTTCATAACTTTCTTGCCTTTGTCCAGTTTTGATGGTTGTGTCCTGACATAATATTTTTTTTTGAGATGGTCACCTCGCTTCCCAAGTCCCAACATCATTAGTTTGTTCACTTCGTATACTTAGCAACTCTGTTGTATGTTTTACGTATCATCATCATCAAACGAGCATGCTCATCATCGAAATCATCCAACAAGATTTGGGATTCTTTTAGTGTTGCATTTACCAACCTCAAAAAATATAAATTTGAGCTGAAAAGTTTAGCGATACAGAAATATTCATATTCAAATTAGTTACCAGATTTTGAATATGATTATTTGCTAACCATATCCGTTATCGTTACATTTTTCGAACATACAATTTTATAATATTTTGAGGTTGGTAAATTCAACACTAAAAGTTTGCATTAAAAAGCAAGTAATGATTTTTGCATTAAACACGTAAAACATCATTGACAATATTTTTCATCTGCTTCAAGACAATAGGCGGAAATAACCATCATCAAGAAGAATAACTTTAGACACTGAAAAAACTCATAACATAGGCTGCAAACACCACAGTAAAAGCTTGAGCACCAGAGAGATTAGTCTCCTAGACAATTTATCCAAAAGATTCAATAAGTGAAATAGCCTGATCCTTCGGAGGCGGCCAAATCAGAGTTGGTCCTTGCAAAGGAAGGCATTTCTCCTTCACTTTTTGTAATGGCAGGTATATCTCCTACACGGCTTTTTTTGATAAAATAAATCGGTATTCCTCTTCCTACACGATTCATCTTCTTAAACCAATGACCAATGGTCTCAACTCCTAGATAGGAAAAGAGTACCGTCAATGATCCACCAGCAACAGAGATAATAGCCGGAAATAACCATCGTGTTCCCGAGAAATGCGGTATAGTCACCCAAGATGCTGCAACATAAGCCGTCGCCATAAACCCTACAGAAACCCACATCATCCTGTGTGTGGCCACCAATAATTTCTTCAAGGGTTTCCTCTTGTAAGGTATGATGCTAACGAGAAGAATAACAATGCACAAGGACGTGAACAATGCAATGTTGTTACATATTGCAAAGACTTTAAATGCTGCGGTATTGCCTACAAGTGATTTCCCTTTCCATGGCCCCTCTTGGTAGACACCGCCCGGGGGGTTTATCCCACCGGCATAAGAAACTGAAGCAATCAGGACTGCCACTATTGCAATCGTATTTCTTGCATTTTGTAATGCTTCTATATGCATCTCATATTCTCATGTTCCAAGCTCTTATGACCTCTTTTAACATGATGTTTCTTGCTTTTCTTTCTCTCTGCTATCTCTGATGTGCTTTTTTCGATTAGCTCAAGCAACCTTATTACCTCAGAATGCCCTATGTGTTCTTCATTTCTCTCAGCCTTTTTAGAATACACTTCTGAAGTCTTGGTGTCACACCTCAGGTAGCTTGATATAAACTCATAGTCTTGGGCTTGTCGAGGGAGAAGGTGATAAGCTCGATAACCCATATTGTTTCTTTCTCTGATATCTATTATCTTCTTACCAACAATGTAACGTATAAGCTGCAATTTATTCAGTAAAATATGTGAGAAGAAACACACACACACACACGCAAATACGAGATTTGCTTCTATGTCAATGTTTATAGACTTTCATCTCAAAATCAATTGACAATAAATAAGTGAGCCAGTGATTCATGTAAAGAAAACTACTCACCGGAGCATCACAAGCCAGGGAAGCAGCAATATGTAAGACAGTGTTGCCCTGTTGATCTTTTTTCTTCAAAAGAATTGGGCTGCTAGGGCCCAAATTCTCCGCCATGAAAACAAAGGCATCGGTATTTTTGTTTCGTGCAGCGAGATGAAAGACTGTCTCTTCTGACGGCGTTCTTACGCAGAAAGACAATGGAGCCTTGTCCATGAACTCCTCCAGGATCATAACTGAGCCACTTTGGACTGCCAGATGCAGAGGTGATAAACCTTTGCTGTTAAGAGCTTCTTCTAGTCCTTGATTGAGTCCTAACAATATACTTGTCAGTTCAAGGTCACCTTTGTCACACGCATAATGCAGTAGCGTTGATTGCGAGCCGCCTTCAACCACCCAAACATTTTTCCTAGCCAGCTTTGGGAATCTCTCCAGTATAATCCCAACAATACCTGACAGTAATAATGAGCCAGTGAGTTTATACATGATAACGAAAAAATGTTGAGCTTAGACACTATAAACTTACAAGAAGATCCACTTGATAAGGCGAAATTGAGTTCATCGATGTCGACTGAATTCGTCTTTTCGACTATGAGTTTGGCAGCCTCCAGGAAAATGCTAAGGAAAGCTAAGTGGAGGGGTGTTTGGTTCTTGTTATTGCGTGCCGAACATAGTTCCAATCCAGTGTCTAGCATCTGCATAACTATGTTTACGTCTCCAAGAAGAGCAGCAAGATGCAAAGGTCACTCTCTTCCACCAAACCAAGAAAAGCTGGAAGGTCATTTTGACGGATCGCATGGAAGATCGGCTGCATCTTTGTCTCAAGAAAACTAGAACAAAAGTAAGAAAATTCTAAAATCTTGGGAGTGGTTAGCATCTTGACATTTTGGTCTTTCTTTATCTTTTACAATTCTTTTTCATTTAACACTGGTTGTTGTTGTGTATATATGAGAGTGAGTGTGTAGTGTTATGTTTTTTTTTTTGTTTTATACAATATAGTTAAATTTTCATTTTTCTTGGCCAGAAGACTTTGACCTATAGTCATCTCCTTAGAGACAAAAAAACAAACGCGTTTATAATTAAAACGAGTTTTTTTTGTTTATAACTGTAAGTACAAATAAGTATAAACTCATTCTCTGAAGAACAAAAAAAACAAACGCGTTTATAATTAAAACGCGTTTAAAAAGTAGAAAGACTTTGACCCTTCTGACTTGGTCTTCGAGTACTACAAGATTAAAAAGTTGTCATCATGTTCTTTACCTCTGGCCAGACATTCTTGTTGATGGTGGGTTTTGGGCTCGAGCCCAAACCCCTTAACGGGCCTAAACCCTTTACAAACAGGCCCATGTTTCCCTGTGGCCCAGTAGAAGTCCAAGAAAGGCCCAATTCGATTTTCCACCGACCAAAGGGGCAAAAAGGACATTTCGCACGAACAGTGTACCCTACTTCTGCATCCTATAAATAGCAAAAAAGAATGTTTGTAAAGGGATCCCGGGATAACGGTTTTCACAGAGAATATTATACAACTGTCAGAGCACTTTGCGGCTCGGCTCGTATTCTAAATTTTTACCTCGTCTATTTTTGTAATTGTCGGCTCGTTCTTTAAAGAAGAGATTCTTCTTTCACCCTTAAGATTCCGAATACATACTTGTTTGATTTTGACGATCAACAATTGGCGCGCCAGGTAGGGGAGAAGCTCGAAGATTTCTCTCAAAACTACGAACCGACGAAACAGCAAAGATGACAGACGCATTCCACAACGCACTCGGCGCAAGTGCCTCCAGCTCGGGAGGAGAAGCATGCACGACCGCAGCCGCACCGCCTTCGCTACCTCCGACGCCGGAAGGACCTACCGCGGCAGCTATCGGACCGCACCCTGCTCCACGTCCTGATGCTCAGATAACTCCCTCGAACGGACGTAACACGACGAACCCACAGATTAACACTAGAGCCGGGACGAACCAAAGAAGTCAGGACCGCAGCGAACCGGACGACCTGCTTCAAAACATCCTCACGCACCTGAGCCAGCAAGAAGCCAGGACGAACGTGCGACTTGAATCTCTGGCAGCAGCCCAGGCTTGCGCTCAGGATGAAATCAATCGCCTAAGCGCAAGTCAGATGCAAGGCGTGCGACCCGCTCAAGGAAACCAAGTGCCGACCCGGCAAATCCATCCTGTCACTTCGTCAAGCGAAAATACCCGAGACCTAGAGCTCGCCGAACTACGACGCATTATCCAAGAAATGAACACAAAGGTTCATAAGGCCACAAGTGCCGCACCGGAACTCGACCGCGTCCTTGAAGAAACGCAGCAAACTCCTTTCACTCGAAGAATAACCAGCGTCTCACTCCGAGGGCGCCAAAAGATAAAGCTCGAGCCCTATAACGGAAAGGGCGATCCAAAAGAATTCCTAACATCATTCGGCATCGCGATCAACCGAGCCGAACTAACCGACGAGAACTTCGAAGCGGGACAATGCCAGATTTTCACCGAGCATCTAACCGGTGCCGCCCTCAACTGGTTCTCAAGACTTAAGCCGAACTCAATCAGCAGTTATCGTGAACTGTCCGTAACGTTTCTCAAGCATTACTCGCCGCTCATACAGAACCAGACGACTAATGCCGACCTGTGGTCCCTTGCGCAAGGACCCACAGAGTCGCTCCGGTTATTTATCGACCGTTTCAAGGACGTCATTACCCGGATCGTCGTCCCAGATGAAGCCGCAATCGTAGCTCTGCGCAACGCAGTGTGGTACGACTCTAAGTTTAGGGACGATATCACGCTCCATGTCCCGAACACGCTCGAGGACGCACTTCATAGAGCAACGAGGTACATCGAATTAGAAGAGGAACGGCTCATTCTGTCACGAAAGCACGGAGTAACAAAGGCATCGGCGCCGAAAGAAGCTCCTGTGGTAAAACCTGCGGAGCCAAGACAGCACCTCGACCGCAATACGAGCCAAGGTAGAAAGCCGGCCACGTTCGTCATAAATAGTGAAGACACGGTGCCCAAACAATGGAACAAATGGGCAAGAGATACCGATGCCATTACTACAGGGCTGGTGTATTGCGAGTATCATAAAAGCAAGGCTCACGCGACGGAAGACTGTCGCTACCTGCAAGGACTCCTCATGGCTAAGTATAAGAGCGGCGACATCACCATCGAATGTGACCGAGCCCAAGGGGGCCATAAAAACCAAAAACGAAACGAGGCCACTGCTAGGCAATTCCTCCAGGATTGAGCCGACAGAGCAGCTGGAGGCGACGATCAAGCAAACGATTCAGCCAAAAGACAACGCCATGGCAAAGCTATCGCCGACGCCCCCATTGTCGTTCGACAAATCCATATGATCATGGGCGGCCTTCAAAATTGCAACGATTCGGTCTGTTCAATCAAGCAGTATCGAAAGAAAGCCGAAATGATGGAGACGTGGCCAGTAACGCCGAGCCAACCTTCCGTGGAGATCGAACCCATTTCTTTCACGAAAGACGACCTCGTCGGAGTCGATCTCCCCCACAACGATCCGTTGGTTGTCGAGCTAATCGTCAGCGATAGCCGAGTTACGCGCGTCATGATCGATACAGGCAGCTCAGTCGACCTAATCTTCAAAGACACCCTCACCGCGATGAACGTAGCTGATCGGCGTATAAAGCCGCATTCTCGACCATTGGCTGGGTTCGACGGCGATTTCATCATGTCTCTCGGCACTATCAAACTACCCACGTTTGTTGGCGGTACGATCGCCTGGGTTAAGTTCGTTGTCATCGATAAACCGACGATATACAATGTAATCTTGGGGACGCCGTGGCTTCATCAAATGCAGGCCGTCGCGTCCACCTACCACCAGTGCGTCAAGTTTCCCACTCATCAGGGAATCTTTACTCTCAAAGGAAATCAGCAAGTAGCGCGGACGTGTTTCCTGATCGAACACAAGAACCGCGCCGAAAAGAAATTATAGCAACCAAAGAAAGAGGAGCCCACGCCCCGCTCCGAAGTAGCAAAGGCACCGGGCAAATCCTACGAGGAATCGGAGCTAAGTCGGACGGAACTTGTGAATATCGACGCGTCGGATCCATTGCGATGCGTCGGCATCGGAGCTGAAATTAGTCCAGAAGTCAAAGCGGCCCTTGTGGCCCTCCTCAAAGAGAATTCGTCAACCTTCGCTTGGAGCGTTGAGGACATGCCGGGAATCGACCCATCGATAACGTCCCACGAGCTAGACGTGGATCCGACATTCAAACCTGTTAAGCAGAAAAGACGCAAATTGGGTCCGGAACGAGCCAAAGTAGTAAATGACGAGGTCGAAAAGCTACTAGGCGCCGGCTCCATCATCGAAGTCCGATATCCAGAGTGGTTGGCAAATCCCGTCGTAGTCAAAAAGAAAAACGGTAAGTGGCGGGTGTGCGTCGACTTCACTGATCTGAACAAGGCTTGTCCAAAAGACAGCTACCCTTTACCACATATCGACCGGCTCGTCGAAGCCACAGCAGGGAACGAGCTCCTATCGTTCATGGACGCCTTCTCTGGATACAACCAAATTCTCATGCATAAGGACGATCAGGAAAAGACGTCCTTCATCACCGATCGCGGAACGTACTGCTACAAGGTGATGCCTTTCGGTCTAAAAAACGCCGGAGCAATGTATCAGCGAAGTCTACATTGACGACATGCTCGTTAAGTCATTGAAAGCTGACGACCACGTTCAGAACCTCCGACAATGCTTCGACGTGCTAAACAAATACCAAATGAAGTTAAACCCGGCCAAATGTACGTTTGCGGTAACTTCCGGTGAGTTCCTGGGTTACGTCGTCACCAAGAGAGGGATAGAAGCCAACCCAAAACAAATTCGCGCTATACTGGAGTTACCCTCTCCCAGAAACGCCAAGGAAGTACAACGGTTGACCGGCCGGATCGCGGCCCTCAATCGATTCATCTCGAGGTCGACAGACAAATGTTTGCCGTTCTACAACCTCCTAAAGCGAAGAGACAAGTTTACCTGGGACGACGCAAGCGAGAAAGCGTTCGCTGAACTTAAGACGTATCTGACGACGCCACCGGTACTCGCAAAACCTGAGAATGGTGAAACTTTATTCTTATACGTAGCTGTATCCAGTTGGGCCGTCAGCGGGGTATTAGTACGAGACGACCGCGGCGAACAGAGACCAATCTTCTATGTAAGTAAATCGCTAATCGAGGCCGAGGTCCGCTATCCTACAATGGAAAAAGCTGCGTTAGCAGTCGTTACGTCGGCGAGGAAGTTGCGTCCCTACTTCCAGTCTCATACCGTGGCCGTGCTTACAAACCAACCTATCAAAGCCGCGTTACACAGTCCGAGCCTGTCTGGAAGGATGACCAAGTGGGCCGTCGAACTCAGTGAATACGATATCGACTTCCGGGCTCGACCAGCCATGAAATCTCAAGTCCTCGCCGACTTCATCGTCGAGTTACCAGTAATGGACCCGGACGACACCGCACTAAGCACCAATCAGACGAATGGTACTTGGACCCTATATTCAGACGGCTCGTCCTCTTCGCATGGATCGGGTGTCGGCATCAGGCTCGTCTCTCCAACCGGCGAAATGTTGGAGCAGTCCTTCCGGCTACGTTTCGCGGCGACAAACAACGTCGCCGAATACGAAGCACTCATCGCTGGACTCCGACTCGTAATTGGGATGAACGTCCGACGACTCCGTGCCATGATCGATTCACAGCTCGTAGCAAGTCAATATAGCGGCGACTACGAAGCAAGAAATAATAGAATGGACGCGTACCTCAAGGTCGTCCAGCGTCTGTCCAAACAATTCACAGAGTTTGAGCTGACCAAGATACCACGGGGAGATAACGCTCCCGCAGACGCCCTTGCAGCACTAGCCTCAACGTCCGACCCAGACCTTCACCGCGTCATACCAGTCGAAAGCATCGACCACCCCAGCATTGAAGGGATCGAATCCATCAACCTTGTGTGCAGCCGCGCCACACCAGATCCGATAAGCGACCCCGACGATTGGTGCCTCGAAATACGCGATTTCCTGTCAGATGGGACGGTTCCGGTAGACAAATGGGAAGCACGGCGTCTACGCGCCAAATCGTCAAAATATACTCTGTACCGCGAATGCTTACTTCGGTACAACGCCTCTGGGGCAGTGCTCAGCTGCCTCCATAAGGCGGACGCGGCAGAAGTCATAAAAGAAACACACGAGGGAGCAGGTGGAAACCACTCAGGAGGACGATCTCTCGCACTCAAAATCAGAAAGCTCGATTACTACTGGCCGACGATGATCTCGGATTGTAAAAACTACGTGCTCAAGTACGAGCAATGCCAACGGCACGCCCCCGTCATCCACCAGCCGACCGAACTGATGAAAGCTGGCGCCGCGCCATACCCTTTCATGCGTTGGGCCATGGACATCGTTGGTCCACTTCCAGCTTCGCGGCAAAAACGCTTCATCCTCGTCATGACTGATTACTTCACCAAGTGGGTCGAAGCTGAATCCTATGCAACGATCAAAGCCAAAGACGTACAGAACTTCGTTTGGAAATACATCATTTGTCGGCACGGCCTACCGTATGAAATAATCACGGACAACGGCTCGCAGTTTATTTCGCAACAGTTCGACGATTTCTGCGCTAGCTGGAGAATTCGTCTGAACAAGTCAACACTGCGTTTCCCCCAAGGCAACGGCCAGGCTGAGGCAACAAACAAAACAATCCTCGCCGGACTCAAAAAACGGCTAGAAGCCAAAAAAAGAGTCTGGGCAGACGAACTCGACGGCGTCCTATGGTCATACAGAACGACCCCGCGCAGCGCCACCGAACAAACACCGTTTTCCTTAGCCTACGGAATGGAAGCGATGGCCCCGGCCGAAGTAGGGTGTACGAGCCTCTGACGTTCCATGATGATACAGAATAATGATCTCAACGATGAAATGATGAGGCACAGTCTCGACGACCTGGAAGAAAACCGCAACACCGCGCTATGTCGAATCCAGAATTATCAACTCGCCGCAGCAAAATACTACAACAAGAAAGTCCATAATCGGCATTTTAGCGAAGGTGACCTCGTCCTCAGAAAAGTGTTCGAAAACACGGCCGAACTCAACGCCGGGAAGCTAGGCGCGAATTGGGAAGGTCCCTATCAGATATCGAAGATCGTCCGACCCGGAGACTACGAACTCCTCACAATGTCCGGCGTCGAAGTCCCCCGCACATGGAATTCGATGCATCTGAAGCGATACTATTATTAAAAAAAAAAAAAAAAAAAAAAAAATCTATGTAATGTGAACTACGAGCGGCTTGATCCCTCCGATCAGAGGGTACGTAGGCAGCCTCGTTTACGAGGCACAGCTGCAAATATTAATAAAATCTATCTTTTTAAAGACAAACGAAACGAAATACGTTAGCACCCTGGCCCGGTGTCTAATCGAACGAAAGCCGAGTTCCATACTCGCACGATTAAAACGATTGGTCACGTAAGCCGAGGCCGAACTCGCAATCACGCTCGTTTTAATCATTCGAACAGGATAAGCCGACCCCGGAGGTCACACCTAAAAATTGTTTTGGGTCCAACCCAAACACAATTATCGACCAAGTTATTGAGGTCGTCCCCAATAACTTGCGCGGTACGACCTCGTAGGTCGTACCACCGAGTGTCTTGGATCCAACCGAAACACAATTATCGACCAAGTTATTGAGGTCGTCCTCAATAACCTGCGCGGAACGATCTCGACGGTATGAGCAAAAGATAATAAACGAAATAGAAGTTCAATAAAGGAAAGGCCAACAAAAGTGGCAGGAGTCTTACAAAAGCCGACTACGCGGCAAATAACTTAAAAAAAACGACATAAAAGCTCAATACGCGGCCTCGTCTTGAAGAGGATCCCCGACCCGAGCGTCACCGTCACCAACGACTTGGTCGACGGCCTCGATGTCACCAGCAACTTCATTGCCAACACCTTCAACCGAAGGCGCAAATTCCTCAGCGACGAGAGATCCCGTGAAGAGATTTCCGACGTCATTCCAGCCTTCCTCTAGCTCGGCAATGTCGAACGCATTGACCTCGTTCTTAAGCTCTTCCGCATCAGCTTCAAGCCTCTCAATCACGTCCTTCGAGTTCAAGACGACCTCCCCAGTTTCGGCCAGCGCCTTCAGCAGGTCAACGCTCCCGACCGCCTGATTATAATCGAGGAACTTGGGATAAGCCGCGTCCTTGGTAGTGAAATGCCTCTGAATCCCATCGAGACGTTGCTGAAATTGGTCTGCAGCCTCCTTGAGAGCCTTAGTTACTTGAATACGAGCATATTCGGTGCGCCGCTTCCGAAGCCTTGCTTCCTCGGCTTGTGACTGCTCGGCCAAGTGCTTAAAGTCAACTCGGGACTTTGACAACTCCTCAAGACAACTCTCCCGTTCTGAAAGAGCGTTATCCCGTTCCTCCTTTAGTTTGGCGACCTCCTCGCGAAGAAGCTGCACCTCGGAGTTGGCACTCTCCAAGCCCTTCGACGCCTGATCGGCCCTCTTCGTCTCGGCTGCCAAGGCCCTCTGGTGATCCTTCGAGGCCGTGTTCTGCTCAGAAACAACGCGGAGGCGACGCTCGTACATATACGCCATCCTGTCAATCGCGCCAATGGCCTACAGAAAGAAGTAAAAGCTCGGTTAGAGAGCAAAACACTTAAAGTATTGCGAAAAGTTCTTAAGGCATTACCGCAACGGTCTTCTTCGCAGCGTCAGTGAACACCGTTCTCTCCCACATATCTTGGAGCTCGAAGAAGGGAGATGGACCGACGTGAAGCTTGCGGAACAGCTCTGCACAGGATGTGGAATCAGTCGAGATATGAACGTCGCGCCCGTTATAATCATATCGCCACCTATAGTCAGGGGCCCAGGCCGTCCTTTGTTTCTTGGTCGGGTCCGAACGCACCGGTTCGGACTCATCAGCAGTCCGCTTCTTGGTCGGCTCGACCTGAGAGTTGTCATACAAAATAACCTCCCTGCCGCCTAAGGGCACATCGTGAGAAGTCTCGGCAACAGGTAGCTTAGCTGACCTCGCTTCAGCCACCTCTTTCTCCCTCCTCTCCCTCTCTACGTCGGATCTTGCTTCCGAACGATCGGCACCAACAACACCATTACCGCGTCGATCACGATGGTCACCTTCATCTCTCCTATCCCGACGACCTGAAGATCGTCGCTCACTCTCCTTAGCCTCGTGTTCGGCTAAGGAAAGACGTTTCCCTAAGGCCATGGCCTCGTCTTCCTCCCAGCTCATCCTCTTCGACGGCGTCACCGACGACTTCTTCTTGTATCTTGATGAGTAATCACCCACCGCGTCGACGTTCATTTTCCCCATAATCTTTGAAGGAGCTGGTATGTAAAAGAAAGGGGAGAGAAGAATGTAAGAAAAATCGTACGCACTCATCAAACGAATAAAGAAAGAAGGGAAAGATCAAGGCCGACCTGGAGTCGTGTTAACCTTCCTTGCTTTCGAAGGACCTCCTCTTCGGCTCGTTTTCTTTTGTTTTGAGGAAGGGCGACGAACAGGATCTTCTTCGTTAGGCCAGGTATACGGGCACAAAGCTAGAATCTTCTTAACGTCGTCGCGAAGTTTCTCAGGATACGGGTCCAAGATCTTGGGACAACGAACTACAAGAGGAAAAGAAACGAGAAAAGCAAGTTAGATAGATAATCAGTTAACAAGGAATCGACCTCGGAGGGATAAGCAAACTACCGGGTGAAATAGTCCACCCATGGTAATTCGTGACGACCACGTCCCCAGCGGAATCGTTGTCGATCTTAACAAAGAAGTACCAATGAAGCCAATCGTTGGTCTTACTCTTCGCACCAACAACCAACTTTGGGGTCAGCGAAGACTGAGTATACACCAAGCCCGGCTTGGATTTCCCGAAATTCTTCTTCGTCGTCAATTCCTCGTACAGAGAACAACGAGGTTCGACGCCGCACTGCTCAGCCAAACGAATCAGGCCGTAAGCATTCCGAATAGCAGCCGGAGAAAGTTGCGCAAACGCCATTTTTCGCCGCGAAGCGTATTGAAGCAAGAACGCCGGAATTGGGAAAGTCAGCCCGTAGTCAGTGATGAGCTTTTCATATACACAAAGATATCCAGGCGGAGCAGTCCAGGGATGATCCCACGGGTTCGAGATGAGCGTATTTAGGGAAGCTGGAGCATCGCAAAAGTGGAGAGAAAGCTCAATCGTCTCGCTCTTCGACGACGTCGGTTGAAGGTAATCCGGAATTCCCGGTGCCGGTCCGCCGGGCTGAACAAACCCAACCGGGGCGGGCACCCGCCTTGTCAATGGAATGATGTCCAAACGATCGGCGATATCAGATGACGGGCCAACAGAACGAGCCGCTCTAATGATAGAAGATTTGCGTCTGATGAGCGGTACGTTATCCTCATCTATAGATGCCGCGTCACTGTCGTCATCGCGAAGGCACATGGTTGTAACGGACTTAGGATTTGCACTCGGTCCGGCTGCTCCCACGCGACTTTCGAGCTCGCGACGTCGTAACTCTGTAACAACTGGAGAGTCTCTGGCGACGGACGAGGCCGACGATCTGGAAGAGGTTCTAGATCTACGACCCCGGGAGTTGCTGACAGATTCGTTGAGAAAACTGTCAACAGACCGGATATTCGACTCGTCGGAAGTACGAGATCGGCGATGGTCGGAGACGGATTCGAAAGAACCGACACTTGAAGACATAATCAGAAAATAAGAAAAGACGCGCTGAGAAAAGGAGAGAGAACAGAGAGAATACCTTCGAAATCGATGCGGAGAAAGAATGAAAGGAATGAGGAGGAAGCGAAGTATTTATAGAGGGAGTCGGTCGAAGAAAAACCGCGTCATCAGTGCGTCTCGAAGAACGGCGTAATCATCACACCTTCGTCGCCCGCAACACGTGAACGACCCGTTTTCCAATGTCTCGGGAGCGGCAGTAGACGAATCAGAAGAGAGCGTCCATCACACGCGCCTCGAAAACACGCGAAGGAAGTCGAAGCGAGAACGGCGAAATGATTGCAACCCTAGCCGCGTCATCACTACGCACTAGGGTTGGGGGGCTACTGTTGATGGTGGGTTTTGGGCTCGAGCCCAAACCCCTTAACGGGCCTAAACCCTTTACAAACAGGCCCATGTTTCCCTGTGGCCCAGCAGAAGCCCAAGAAAGGCCCAATTCGATTTTCCACCGACCAAAGGGGCAAAAAGGACATTTCGCACGAACAGTGTACCCTACTTCTGCATCCTATAAATAGCAAAAAAGAATGTTTGTAAAGGGATCCCGGGATAACGGTTTTCACAGAGAATATTATACAACTGTCAGAGCACTTTGCGGTTCGGCTCGTATTCTAAATTTTTACCTCGTCTATTTTTGTAATTGTCGGCTCGTTCTTTAAAGAAGAGATTCTTCTTTCACCCTTAAGATTCCGAATACATACTTGTTTGATTTTGAGGATCAACAATTCTGACTTACCTATCTTCTCGAGGACTGAAACGTATTTCGAAGGATATACTTATCCTAGTTTGGCCATTGACAATATATGAGCTATGGAGAGAAAGAAATAAGAGGATTCACTCCAATGTAGTACAAACTCCATGCCATTGATCGCACCATCAGGAACAGAGCTTCCTTATTCCGCTTTTAGAGATCCGACACTGGCTTCCCAACTACTTCAGAAATGGTTCATGTGTAGACAACCGCATGACGTTACATCAGTTGAAACGACTACTTCAACCACATCTTCACTCCATCTATCATTTTAAAAGACACCACCCAACTACTCCCAAAGTTTCGTTGATGGGTTCAACTTGTACATTATTATACATTCACTGACCTTTAAATTATAAACTCGAGGAAACAGCAAGGAAAGAAAATTTTGAGGTCGCAAAAATCATAGTGAGGGTAAATCTATTGAAGGACCTTCCTACTTGTATTGTCTCAGGCTACAGTGATGGAAGAGAATTTGAGATAGATGTATCATATCCTTGGTTACCACCTCAGTGTACTGAGTGCAAAGTCTTTGGTCATGCTACAAGTGAGTGTATGCATAAGGCTTCTACCTCAGGAAGGAAAGTGCAAAGGAGGTCTTCTAGCAGAAGGGGTCGTTCGTCTCGTCGGTCTAGGCAAGCACGTAAGGATGATAATTCACGTATGGGCAGATCAAGGCCTCCTCCAACAGCAGCTATTCGAACCTCAACTGTTATAGCAAGTATGGATGGAAAATCAGCTGAGTCTAAGGGAGAAGAAGTTTCATGCTCAGTAAGTGATGCTATTATTTCAGAACATGGTACGGTATCAGGGATTGTTCAGCATGTACATGATGGTGTTGCGTTGGATTTGAGTGTTATATCAGATTTTGGTACGGCATCAGATATTGGTAAGCATGTGCTTGGTGTGGTTTCGGATTGTAGTGTGGTATCAAGTCAAGGTGTGGTAGATGATTCGGGTCATCATTGTTGGGGAAACAACACACGATTACGCAGCGGACTAAAGTTTCACCCAAACTAATGTGAACCTTGTGAGGAAAATACAATGGACTTGGCAGCAATAACTTCAAAAACTTAAAGTAAATGAGACCACCAATTTTTACGTGGAAAACCTTCTCGATGTGAGAAGGAAAAACCACGGGACCGTAGTCCACTCAAAATCCACTATATCAAATGTATGAGTGTTACAACCACGTCCTCCCTGTTCCACAAGAACAGATACAGAGACTAAGGCTCCAAAGAGCAATCTCCAAACACAAGAAAAACTCAGCAAGAGAGCAATACAAGAGCTTAGAAATAAGCAGTTCCAAACGACCCTAGGTTCGCTAAGATTCCGGTCACCAAATCAAATCTCCACCGTACAAATCCTAGATAAACAGGTCAGGAACACCTCTGCAAAATTTCAGCTCAAAACCGAGAAGAACTCACCGTTGGATCTTCCAAACACTCACGACATATGCTGCAGGAAACTCTGGAAAATCCAGACACGACCAGCCACGTTAAAACTCTGATTTCTCACAAACCAACCGTTGAAACCAAATCTCCACCGTTGAATCTGAAGACCACTGAGTCACGAAGCTACTCTCCAAAAATCAGCCAAATCGAAGCTCGTTTGAGTGTCCAAACGTTCAACACCACAAACCTTCACAGTTCTGTTTTTCTCCTCTTTAAATCCTCTCTCTCTTTTTTTTTTCTTTCGTGTTATATATTTTTTTTCTCTTGCCGACACCAACATATATTTTCCTTTTTCTTCTTTTTATATATATAATATATATATATATATTTTTCTTCTTCCTCCACTAGAAGGAATAAACAACAAACTCCCCCTCCGACTAGGTGGAGGAAACAGCCATTCCGGCTATCTCTCGGCATACTTCAAGCTTCCCCCTCGGTAATGACTTTGTCATCATATCAGCTCCATTATCATCCGTATGAACTTTTGCAAGTTCCACTTCCTTAGAAGCAACCACATCACGTATCCAATGATACCTTCTATTAATGTGTTTCGAACGCGAATGAAATGTAGAGTTCTTTCCAAGATGAATTGCGCCTTCGTTATCACAAAGCAATACATAATTATCTTGCTTGAAACCGAGATCCTCAAGATAATTTTTCATCCACAACAACTCCTTACAAGCTTCTGTTGCGGCTATAAACTCAGCTTCAGTGGTAGAAAGTGCAACACACTTCTGTAACCTTGATTGCCATGCCACAGCTCCCCCAGCAAATGTTACCAAGTAACCCGAAGTAGACTTACTGGAATCAGGATCCCCAGACAAATCAGAATCAGTATAACTGACAAGTAGTGGCTTATCACCTCCAAAAGTAAGCTTCAAATCAGAAGTCCCTCGAAGATATCTCAAAATCCACTTCACAGCATTCCAGTGTTCTCTTCCAGGATTGGAGAGAAAACGACTAACTGTACCAACAGCGTGAGCTATATCAGGTCTTGTACAGACCATAGCATACATCAAGCTACCAACTGCAGAAGCATATGGAACCCGTGCCATATCTTCTTTCTCCAACTTTGTTTTCGGACTATGTTGACTGTTCAATCTAAAGTGTGTAGCAAGAGGAGTGCTAACAACTTTAGACTTGTCCATGTGAAACCTTTGAAGTACCTTTTCAATGTACCTCTCCTGAGATAAGTAAATCAACTTCTCACCTCTATCTCGAACAATTCTCATACCAAGAATCTGTTTCGCTGGACCCAAATCTTTCATGGCAAAGGACTTTCCAAGCTGGTTCTTCAACTCTTGAATTCTGCTCAAGTTCTTGCCAACAATCAACATGTCATCAACATACAATAGCAAGACGATAAAATCATCTTCACCAAACATTTGCACAAACACACAATGATCAGAAGTAGTCTTCTTATAACCATGCTCCCCCATAACTGACTCAAACTTCTTATACCACTGCCTTGGTGCCTGTTTCAAACCATAAAGACTTTTCTTCAAGCGACAAACTAAATCCTCTTTGCCCTTTTTCACAAAGCCTTCCGGTTGTACCATGTAAATCTCTTCCTCCAAATCTCCATGAAGAAAAGCAGTCTTTACATCCATTTGCTCAACCTCTAGATCAAGGCTCGCTGCCAATCCAAGTACAACCCGAATGGATGACATCTTCACAACAGGAGAAAAGATTTCATCATAATCAATCCCCTTCTTTTGGCCGTACCCTTTCACAACCAATCTAGCCTTGTATCGAGGTGACAAACTGGTCTCATCATGCTTAATCTTGTACACCCACTTATTAAGCAATGCCTTCTTGCCCTTAGGCAATTTCACCAACTCAAAAGTATGGTTCTCTGCAAAAGAATCCATCTCGTCACCCATGGCATCATGCCATTCATCTTTGTGTTCATCCTCTAAAGCTTCATCAAAGCTCTCAGGTTCTCCCCCATCAGTAAGTAGCACATACTCACTAGGATCATACCTTGTCGATGGTTTTAGACCTCTCTCAGATCTTCTAACAATAGGAGGGTTCTCGGTAGTTGGTGTCTCACCATGATCGTCATCATGATCACCAATACCATCATCATGTGCGGGAGCATCTGCACCAGGTGTATCAACTTGAACCTCATCCTCGACCTGACCGTGAACCGATGTAGAAGGAGCAACCACTGAATCAATCAAACTCTCATAACTCTGAGTTGGATTTCCGGACTTGTCAATGTCCTTAATCGTTTGATCTTCCATGAACACAACATCTCTGCTCCTAATGAGCTTCTTCTCAACGGGATCATAAAATCTGTATCCAAACTCATCCTGACCATAACCAATGAACACACATTGTCGCGACTTCATCTCAAGCTTCGACCTTTCATCCTTGGGAATATGAACAAATGCCTTACACCCAAAGACCCTCAAATGACCATAAGAAACGTTCTTACCGGTCCACACCCTCTCTGGAATATCACCCTCCAATGGAGCACTCGGTGATAGATTCAGCACATGAACAACCGTGCTTAAAGCCTCACCCCAGAAAGTCATCGCCAAGCCTGATTGTGAAATCAAACATCTCATTCTCTCGACAATAGTTCTGTTCATCCTCTTAGCCAACCCATTCAACTGTGGAGTCTTAGGCGGCGTGAACTGATGTCTAATACCATGTTCCTTGCAATAAACATCAAATGGTCCAGAATACTCACCACCATTATCACTACGGATACACTTCAACTTCTTTCCCGTCTGTCTCTCAACCAATGCCACAAACTGCTTGAAGTATCCTAGAACCTGATCTTTCGTCGTCATAGTAAAAACCCACAACTTCCTTGAATGATCATCAATGAAAGTGACAAAATATGATGCACCACCAAGAGATTTTGTTTTCATTGGACCAGACACATCTGAATGAACCAGATCAAGTACCTCAGGTTTTCTAGAAGGTGCAGAAGACTTGAAAGAGACCCTGTGTTGTTTTCCCCGCAAACAATGCGCACATTTCTCCAAGTGCAAACCGGAGATACCTGGAATAGCTTCCTTCTTAGACAACACAGACATTCCCTTCTCACTCATGTGACCGAGTCTCTTATGCCACAATTCCATGGCATGATCATTCTCCAAAGCATTAACACTGTCTTTGGAGACCTTAGCCTGCATCAAATAGAAAGATGAAAGCTTCTCCCCTCGAGCCACAACCAAAGAACCACGTGAAAGCTTCCATTTACCACCGCCGTGTAAACTGTAGAAACCTTCATCATCAAGTCTTCCCGTAGATATCAAATTCATCCGAAGATCTGGGACATGCTTAACATCTTTAAGCATAAGTCTAGTCCCAATACTAGTCTCCAAGCAAATATCACCAATGCCAACAACCTGAGCCAAACCATCATTCCCCATCTTCACAGAACCATAACTACCCGGAGTATAGGTAGAGAACAAATCCCGCTGTGATGTAGCATGAGTAGTAGCTCCACTATCAACCACCCAACTGGTGTCTTGACATACATTAATGGCATCATCTTCAAGAAGAATGAGAAATTGATCGTCAGTGATTGTCACACGATCTACTTCTTCTTGCTTCCCTTGCTGCTTGTCTTTCTTCAACTTCCAGCAGTCTTTCTTTATGTGCCCTTTCTTATGACAATAATGGCACTCTAAATTCGCAAATTTGTTAGATTTGCTCCTGCTCCTGTTCTTATCTTTCTTGGGATCTCTAGATGAACTCCTCCCCCTTGACTCAGTGACTAACACATCTGATCTTGAGGAACTAGCATTTGACTGCCTTCTAGTTTCCTCATTCAAGACACTGTTTTTCACCATATCCATCGAAATAACACCATTCGAAGTAGAGTTACAAAGAGACATCCTAAACACCTCCCATGAATCTGGTAGTGTACCAAGAAGCCACAGACCGTGAATCTCATCCTCAAACTTGATTCCCATATCAGACAGTTTATTGAGCAGCCCCTGAAATACATTTAAGTGATCAGTCATTGGAGTTCCCTCCTGATACCTCAACTCAATCAACTTCTTGATCATGTACATCTTATCATTCCCGGTCTTCCGAGCGTACAATTGCTCTAGCTTCAACCACAAAGAACGAGCATCAATCTCATTTTCAATATGATTCAACACATTATCATCTACCCATTGCCTTATCAAACCACACACTTGGCGATGTTGCAACTTCCACTGATCATCAGTCTTCTCTACAGGTTTCTTCTCCTCAAAGACTGGAACATGAAATTCTTTCACAAAAAGCAAATCTTCCATCTTGCCTTTCCATAGATGATAATTAGAACCATTCAAGCTTATCATTCTGCCCATATTTTCCATCCTGCCCATATTTTCCATCGCTCACAGAAGCAAATTAATAACCCAAAGTTATCAAACCCAAAGCTCAAAACCAAGAAGCTCTGATACCACTCTGTTGGGGAAACAACACACGATTACGCAGCGGACTAAAGTTTCACCCGAACTAATGTGAACCTTGTGAGAAAAATACAATGGACTTGGCAGCAATAACTTCAAAAACTTAAAGTAAATGAGACCACCAATTTTTACGTGGAAAACCTTCTCGATGTGAGAAGGAAAAACCACGGGACCGTAGTCCACTCAAAATCCACTATATCAAATGTATGAGTGTTACAACCACGTCCTCCCTGTTCCACAAGAACAGATACAGAGACTAAGGCTCCAAAGAGCAATCTCCAAACACAAGAAAAACTCAGCAAGAGAGCAATACAAGAGCTTAGAAATAAGCAGTTCCAAACGACCCTAGGTTCGCTAAGATTCCGGTCACCAAATCAAATCTCCACCGTACAAATCCTAGATAAACAGGTCAGGAACACCTCTGCAAAATTTCAGCTCAAAACCGAGAAGAACTCACCGTTGGATCTTCCAAACACTCACGACATATGCTGCAGGAAACTCTGGAAAATCCAGACACGACCAGCCACGTTAAAACTCGGATTTCTCACAAACCAACCGTTGAAACCAAATCTCCACCGTTGAATCTGAAGACCACTGAGTCACGAAGATACTCTCCAAAAATCAGCCAAATCGAAGCTCGTTTGAGTGTCCAAACGTTCAACACCACAAACCTTCACAGTTCTGTTTTTCTCCTCTTTAAATCCTCTCTCTTTTTTTTTTCTTTCGTGTTATATATTTTTTTTCTCTTGCCGACACCAACATATATTTTCCTTTTTCTTCTTTTTATATATATAATATATATATATATTTTTCTTCTTCCTCCACTAGAAGGAATAAACAACAATCATGAGCCTTTAGCTCCTGCAGAGGCCACACCTGAGATTGAATGCAGTAAGGCTGATGAGGAGCCTGATCTACCTTTCTTCCTGGTGTCTAACCGGAAGAGTGGCCGTAAGGTCACAAACCAACATTAATATCATTATAAGAGGTCTGAATAGTAATGAACGCCACTCCATGACCAAAGATTGGATTAATATCCATAGGCCACTTTTTGGTGCTTTCTGTGAAACTCACTTACAAGGAATAAGAGCTGGGAGAATATCTAGAGCTTAATTTCAGTCTTAATTTACCAAGCTTCGGCTCATGCGGTAACTTGTGGTATTTTTATTCAGGCTGAGAATGTGAATCTCACTGTGACTTTTGTGTATGGTTTCAACCAAGTCGAAGATAGGCACTCTCTGTGGGATGAGTTACATCTTTTGAATGTTTCTACTCCTTTGTCTAGGCATCCATGGGCTGTCGCTGGAGATTTCAACCAGATCCTACGGTCAACTCATCATTCAAACCACCAATGGATAAATGTTGACACTTCTGGTATTGATGATTTCAATCTGGCATTGCAAGATGCTGAGTTATTTGAGGCGCAGGCAAAGGGACTGCCGTTAACTTGGTGGAATAACCAAGATGATAACCCTATCTCCAAGAAAATTGATCATGCTCTCATAAATCAAAAATGGTCTGACTTGTTTCCGGATGCATACGCAGACTTTCTAGAGCCGCAACAGTCTGATCATGCGGTATGCCTATTTCGGGTTCCTTCCCTTCAGCGACATTTATGCAAACCATTCAAGTTTTTCCATCATGTGATCGACCATCTGGAGTATGAAGACTCTGTCAAGGAAGCATGGAACTGTGAGGTAATAAATGGATCTTTTCAATTTAAGCTTGCGAGATCGTTAAAACTTATGAAAAAAGTTCTCAGACGTATCAACAAGCGATATTACAGTGGTATCTCAGAGAGAGTAACAGCACAAGCTAAAAAAGTTTTAGAGCTGCAACGGATTCTCTTGACAAATCCTGATTCTGCTAGCATCAAGCACGAGCAAAATGGAAAACCCTTCAAAAAGCAGAGGAAAAGTATTATTGTAACATCCCAAAATTTAATATTAGACAAAGCCCAATAAGCCCAATATCTATATCACTTAAACGACAAAGGTCATGGTCGTTTGTGTGTATAGAGTACATGTATGTATCTTCTTCTCTACGAGCCGTCACAAGAGAAACCTAAACCTAAACCCTAAGGGCAGCAGCTGTAACATAGTAAAAGCTTTGTGGGTCGTTAGTGTCGAGTTCGTGAGCCATCGTTGTTGAGTTTGTGAGACGACGTTTAGTTTGACGTTATGGTGATCGACCATCTTTAAAGGAGGAGATGTGTTGGGCAGAGCAACAGGAGAGGAGAAGAAACCTGAGTCCTAGAGCCACCTTAGTTGTGTTGTGGCTGTGTATGTATCATTGGAAAAGGGAGAGAAAGGGAGGAGAAGAGAGAGAGCCGTGAGGTGAGGATAGAGAACGAGATGAAGCGGAGATGGTGGAAATCATTGGCAAGTCTGAATAGTCATGTCGTAGCTGTGGCAAGCCTCGACAGTGGTGGAGGAACAAAGCCAGAGTGAACAGAGGTGAAGGAGAGAAGAATAAGAAAGAGAAAGAAGGAAATAAAAGTAGTGTGGAGGAGGCCACTTTGGAGGCTCGTCGGTGCATGATATGATATTTTTTTTGCAAATTAAGAGTATGTATGAGATGCTTAGAAACCCAAGATTACATAACAACTTACGTATCTTGAATCGGGGTTACATTCAAGAAGTTATGGCTGTTGCTTTCTGGACAAGTAACTGCAGAATCTGTCAAACCCAGAAACCCTAGAAAACAGATCTGAGGTGGCTTCTTTAGGACAACGTTTGGAGGCCCAAACCTACTTCGATCGAGCTGAAATTTGGTGGAGTTATTCATGGTACTACAGCCTATAGATTCAACGGTGGGATTCCGTTTTGAACGGTTAGTTATTGTTTTGTTCTTATGTTTCCGAGACAGTTCATTATAGAGTAAATGGTGACAAGTTCTATTGTTTGATTGGTCAAACGAGGTGGGATTGAGATGAAGCTTTACTGGAAAATTTATGAGGCATGAAACTATGACTTGTTTGATGGAGAACCAAACTTGAAATCCGTATTCGAACCGTAGCGTCTCGAATAAGTTAAAGCTAAGGTGAGGGTGGTAATCGTGAAAACACAATGATTATTTTCTAAGCATGTTCTTCATGAATTGCTTGTATAGGCTTGGAAACTATGTGATTGGATATATGTCTATTGTTTGCTATTGCGTGCTATGATATGATGATAAGATTCATGATGATTGATGTGTGATAATATGAAATGAGTTGATGTGATGGGGGCACGAACCTGAGATTGGTTTCGTGTCTCGTGATGGGCGAACCTGAGATTGGTTTCGTACCTAGTAATTGGACGAACCTGGGATTGGTTTCGTGCCTGGCGATTGGACGAACCTGGGATTGGTTTCGTGTCATGCTAAGCCGATGGGATTTCGGTTTAGCTTTATTGTTGTTGATTTTGTATATGATTGAGTAATGTAAGAATATGTATGTTTGTTAGATGTATGTTTGAGAATGTGGAGTCTGATTTTATGCTATGCAATGATTGTTGAGTGTGATTAGAATTTTGCCATTGTGTTCACCCCTTTTATTTTTTTCCCTTAGATTAATAAGCTTTATGAGACGTTGAAGAAATTTTGAATCTTTAAAGAATTATGAATAACACATTGTCTTGGCCTATAAGGCATGACGGGTGTTACAATTATCGGCAAAGGTCAAGAGCCCAATGGATGGATTTAGGGGACAAAAATACTGCTTTCTTCCACAAGACGGTTGCACAAAGAGTGACTCGAAATCACATCCACTTTCTTAGAGATAGTAATGATACTATGATTGGCACAACCAAAGGCATTAAGTCTCATTCAGCTGAGTATTTCCAAGGTATATTTGGTTGTACTGATTTGCCAATTTCTCCATGTTCGGACTCTCAGTTACAAAAAGTGCTACTCTTTAGATGCAATGATAGTCAGAGGCATGATGACGCAGTCGGAATCTCTAGGAATAGCAAACACTATGCCTAGATAGAAATCAAGTTCGCTAGCGACGAACTTAATGATAAAACTCTGGAATCCACCAGAAAAGGGTCTGGAATCCACCAGGAAAAGAGAAAGCTCTCTGTTCTTATTAATTAGAATCAAAAAAAACATCCCCGGTAAATAACCTAGGATCTCTATATATATAGAGAATAAAACCAAAACATAAAATAGAAAACCCTTAAACAAAATAGAAAACGTGAAATAAGTAAATATTAAAAGAAAAGGTAAATTCCCTAAATTTCTCCTACATCAGTCTCCTCCACTTCTGAAGAACTTGTCCTCAAGTTCTCTTCTGATTAAAGAATCTCATTTGCTTTGTCCCGCATAGGAGGGAAGTCATGTAAATAACCGTCTGAATCTAACTCTCTCAAATTAGTTAGAATCTCTGGAAGGTCCTCTGGGATTGTTGTCTTCTTCTTAACAACACTTAGCAACCCATTAGTTTTTTTGAAATTCGCATCTAGCCTTTTCTTGTAATGAATCATAACTAAGACGCTTGATTTCTTTCTCCTTGGATTCTCTTCCTTGTAGTGCTTCTCATGTTCATGTGCAATTAACGTCTTGAGATTCCTTTGTACCACTAGCTTCTCTTCTGGAGTAATTAACATCTCATCCACTTCTGAAATTCCATAGAATAATAGAATATCAGTCTTCACATGATTGCTTTGTTTATTCCCTTGATCAACTATCTCGTCCTTCACGAGTTCTTCTTTAGCATCCATGTGAGAATCATAATTATTATGTAGATTCTCTTGACCAATCTCTTCCTTCATGGATTCTTCATTAGAACTTGTATTTTCATCAATCACAACACGATTGTTTTCCACTCTTGGGATTCCTCTTCCCTGGTTTCTCTGCTGATTTTCGTTAAGCCTAGCCGGTTCTCTTTCTCTGCCTCTTTGCTGATTTTCGTTAAACACCACTTGTTCTCCTTCTCTGCCTTGTTGTCGATTGTGTCTGCCTTGTTGATTCTGATTTCGTCCCATTCCTTCTCCTCCTCCTTGTCCTGCGTTAGCAATCTGATTGGTTAATGCTGCAATCTGATTAGTTAACGCTGCCACCAGATTTGCCAGGTTCGTGGTTGAGTCTTTCAAACTTGCTGTGAAACCCTCCATGTCGGCCTTGGTTACTGGTTGATCACCCATAGCTGTTCAAGCTTCGAAAAGAGTAGGAGATTGCCTGCTCTGATACCACTTGACGCAGTCGGAATCTCTAGGAATAGCAAACACTATGCCTAGATAGAAATCAAGTTCGCTAGCGACGAACTTAATGATAAAACTCTGGAATCCACCAGAAAAGGGTCTGGAATCCACCAGGAAAAGAGAAAGCTCTCTGTTCTTATTAATTAGAATCAAAAAAAACATCCCCGGTAAATAACCTAGGATCTCTATATATATAGAGAATAAAACCAAAACATAAAATAGAAAACCCTTAAACAAAATAGAAAACGTGAAATAAGTAAATATTAAAAGAAAAGGTAAATTCCCTAAATTTCTCCTACATCACATGATCTGCAAAAAGAGGTTTTAGATGAAGAGATCGAACATACGGTTTTTGCAATGCCATTGAACAAAAGCCCAGGTCCAGACGGTTATTCTGTGGAATTTTTAAGAGCTTCTTGGGGATACAGTTGGAAGAGATGTGGTGGCGGCAGTGAAGGGATTTTTCAGGAATGGTAGGCTACTGAAAGACCTGAATAACACTGCTATCACCCTTATACCTAAGAAACTAGAAGCTTGCAAGTTAGGAGATTACCGTCCTATTAGCTGTTGTAACATCATATACAAAGTGATCTCCAAAATCATAGCGAGCAGGCTAAAACCAATTCTTCAAGAATGCATTAGCCCAAATCAAGCGGCTTTTCTAAAAGGACGTAGTCTTGGGGAAAATGTGTTACTATCTTCGGAGCTGATCAGAAACTACTACAAGTCCTCTTGTCCTAAAAGTTGTATGCTCAAAGTGGATATAAGAAAGGCTTTTGACACAGTATGTTGGAATTTCGTCCTTAAATTATTGGAGGCGCAAGATTTTCCACCTCTTTTGAGGGCTTGGATCAAGGAATGCATCACATCACCAAGGTTCTCTATATCAATAAATGGAGAATTGGCTGGTTTCTTTCCAGGAAAGAAAGGACTTAGGCAGGGTGATTCAATCTCACCATATTTATTTATTATGGTGATGGAAGTGTTGTCTAAGTTGTTAGAGACTGCGGCAAATCAGGGCAGTTTGAGTCTCCACCCGCAATGCTCAAGCCCAAGGATCACTCACCTATTATTCGCCGATGACCTCCTAATCTTCTCGGATGGATCTAGACACTCTCTCACGGGTATAAAAGAGGTAATGTCAAACTTCAAACGCATGTGTGGTCTTGATATGAATGCCGCTAAACCAAAAATATTTTTCGGTGGTTATGGGGATATTGAAGCTGCGGAGTTGAGTGGTTTTTCTGGGTTTAAAATAGGATCTTTTCCGACGAGATATCTGGGGCTGCCGCTAAATCCCCAAAGAATCTCTCTTGCTACGCTCCAACCATTTATCGAGAGAATCACAAGCAAGCTACACTCGTGGACTATAAAGTTCTTATCTTTTGCAGGAAAGATAAGGCTAATATCATCAGTAATTTATGGCATGGTGAACTTTTGGAGCTCGGTTTTTGTTCTGCCGAAAGCATTCTATGAAAAGATTGACTCTCTTTACGCGGCTTTCCTGTGGAAGAACAAGACCACTTCAGCAATGGACTGATGTGTGCAAATCTAAAGCGGAAGGAGGTCTTGGTATTCGACTCCTAACTGACATTGAAATGGTCTTCAGATTGAGGCAGATTTGGAATCTTTTCGCTAATGCCGGTTCATTGTGGGTATCATGGGTGCAAACTAATATCTTTGGGAGAAAGAGTTATTGGTTAACAGAAGACGCAAACTGGTTTTCTCGACAAATAAGGAGTATGCTTCAATTAAAGCAGGTTCTGGTGATGAGGTTTTTGCGTTGTGAAATAGGTGATGGAGAGACTGCTTTTTTCTGGCATGATTCATGGTCAGAATTGGGACCGCTAATTACTTATCTCGGGGCAAGAGGTACGAGACAGCTTGAGATTCCTCTAGATGGCCGTGTTATCCAAGCGACCAGGAATGGGGACTGGAGACTGCCTGCAGCTAGGTCTAATGAGGCTCAATCTCTCCAAATTCATCTAACTACCTTAACACCACCAAATGTGTCAATGGGACCAGACTCTTATCTATGGCGCAATGCGACAGGTATGTTTGTAAAAGCCTTCTCCTCTAAAGCTACGTGGGAGCATCTTAGAATACAATCTCCAACCGTGCTATGGCACAAAGTGGTATGGTTTAACGAAGCAATTCTTCGGTGCTCTTTCATTACATGGCTTGTAATGTTATCAAGACTACCCACAAAAGATAGGCTTCGTCGATGGGGAATTAATGTTCCTGATCAATGTGTTTTGTGCTCTAGTGGCATTGAGACACATGAACACCTATTTTTTGATTGTCCGTTTGCATCTGATATTTGGAGCCATTTTGCGAGCAGAATTTGGTCTAATCCTCCATTGAGTCTTCAAGCTGTGGTATCTTGGATCTCTCAGCCTCACCTTCAGTCTTCTACCCCGCAAGCAGTTCTCAATATGCTCATCAAGCTTCTTCTGCAAATCATCATCTATATCCTTTGGAAGGAGCGTAATGCCAGAATCTTATCCACCACATCCACATCAGCCACCAGCCTCCGTCTTTCAGTCGACCGGATGGTTAGAGATCGTCTTCTTTCTTTCCCAGCGACGTCTTCTGCTTTTTTCTCTCTTCTCGGGTTCTACTTTCTTTGTATGGGCTCTTTTTCTTAAATTTTCTCCAGTTCTTTTTGTTCTTGTAATAAGTTGCAATCAACATGTATGTAATCGAAAATGGTATAAATCTTAACATTTACACCCAAAAAAAAAAAAAAAAAAAATTATAAACTCAAGTTAGAAAAGTTTAGCGATAACGAATATGGTTAGCAAAAAATCGTATTCAAGATAGTGAATCATTTTAGTTTCCACAGTCTCTTTGATCGGATATTTTCATATAGTTGTGTTCGTCCTTGTTCAAGTAATTCAGACTTGCTATTTGATAGTTCTCAAGAATAGCAAGCCTAAGACCATCACATAAAGAGTCTGAAATAACAGAGTGGCGTCACATTATAAGTTTTATATACTTTTAAATATTTTTTATTTATCAAAAATATAAATTAAAAAAAGAGTTGAATTGAATGGTCGCATATTTGTCTTACAAAATATGGGTGGGGTACTCGGGTTCATCATAAATCGTCTAAGCATTTAATCACAAATCTACAAAGTACGATGAAATTAATTTGTTCAACCATAAAATAGCTGATTTTGGCAATGAAACACTCGATTATAGGAGTACAGTTTGGGTTTTTTGTTGTGTGTGTGTGTGAAATTGTACACATTTTCCGCAAACTGATCCCACAAGGCCACAAGAGACACGATTACACGAACATCTCCGAAATTAATAACACAAGAGCAACCATCCATCCAATATACCTCCTCCGTATTTGCATAGTTGATGTTTTTTTTTTTTGGTGGGCTGCATAGTTGATGTTTAGAACTTATTTAATTTATTTTTCTAAATAAAAAATCATTTATAGTCTATTTAAACACAATTCAATCAGTAATAATATACTTTGCATTATACAAATAGTTAAAAATAACAATAAAAAAATTCTTAATTTTGCATTAAAAATTGATAACATCAACTAATTTGAAACGAAAAAAATTTATCCTAAAATATCAACTATAAAGATACAACCATAAATAATATTACCTAAATAATATTACTTCCACTTAATTTATTGGATATTAGACATTTTTCAACCGTCGGATTAGCCTCTAGCAAAATTTTAAACATTAGTGTTTTCTAAATTCGATTAGTAATTTTGTTTAATGTATATACAGTATAAGATTTTTTTAAAAAAATCTTTGTAATTGTGATGGTATTAAATGTAGACATATTATATACTTCCACAAGTCATATAAAAAATGTAAAATACAGAATCTTGTACGCAACACACGGGAGATAGTATGAGACTCGAGAGAGAAAGAGTCATCATCATTCAATATTCATCTCCTTCAAAACAAACATTTAAAAAAATTTTGGCTTTAATGGAACCCACGTTCTCCTCTCTGTCTCTCTCTCTTTACAATTTCCAAGAAAACACTAAAATAAAAACCACAACAACAACAACAAAGTTTTGTAGTAATAGTATTACTCTTTCACTCGTTTTTACCTCTCTTAGCTGTTTCTACTTATTTTCTCTTTCTCTCTCTCTTCATCTTTTGTTGTTTTACGTAAAGTCAAACCCATCTCTCTCTCTCTGCCATTTTCTGAACATGAATATCTTCTTCTCATGCTCTGATTCGTTTCTCATTGCCTAGACAAGAAGAACAATCTGTCTATACTGGTTTGAAGTTTTAGCTTTAAGCTTTGTTGCTACAAACAATGGAGTTCAAGAGAGACAATACTGTCAGGTTCTAGATTTTTCATCTTTTTTAGAACATTCATTTTTGGGTTCTTTCAATGATGGACAAAAAAAGTTAGCAATCCCAATAAAGTTTTGATCTTTATACTTTGCATTTGGTACATTATTTTGGAATGATTCGTTCTTGATCTTATTTTTTGAACCCAAACTCTGTTTTGTTTTTTTGGTTAATGGGTGTGACAGATTCTATGGAGACGAGAAACAAACCATAGAAGTAGGAGAGAAGCGTGTACCATTGTTCAAATCAACAACGGCTCCATTTATGAAACAAGAAGTCCCAAAGAAGAGCAAAACACGTTTGAAAATCCCAAGATTTGGTAGATTCAAAGTGTTTCCAGAGAATTTCGAGATCGAAAGAGATAAGATTCTAGATCCTGGTGGTGATGCAGTGCTTCAATGGAACAGAGTTTTTCTCTTCTGGTGTCTCGTTGCACTTTACGTCGACCCTTTGTTCTTCTTTCTTTCTTCAGTCAAACGCATTGGACGATCTTCTTGTATGACTACAGATTTGAAGCTTGGAATTGTCATTACTTTCTTCAGAACATTAGCAGATTTGTTCTATGTTTTGCACATTGTGATCAAATTCAGAACAGCTTATGTTTCTCGTACTTCTAGAGTGTTTGGTCGTGGAGAACTTGTGAAAGATCCTAAGTTGATTGCTAGAAGATACTTAAGATCAGATTTCATCGTTGATCTCATCGCTTGTTTGCCTCTTCCTCAGGTATATTTATTCATAACCTGTGTGGTCACTTGGATTCTTGAACTTCGGCCCCAGTGCTTTATCCGTGGTGGACCCACGGATTAGTCTGGGACTTGGACACCGGGGCCACGTGATTCATATTTTCTTAACATTGTTATTAGAGTTTGATTGTGTCTCTATTGTTGCAGATTGTTAGTTGGTTTATCTTGCCATCAATCAGAAGCTCTCACTCAGATCATACCACAAATGCTCTTGTGCTCATTGTTCTTGTTCAATACATTCCTCGCCTTTATCTGATTTTCCCTCTTAGCGCTGAGATTATTAAAGCAACCGGAGTTGTTACAACCACCGCTTGGGCCGGTGCTGCTTACAATCTCCTCCAGTATATGCTTGCTAGCCATGTGAGTTTGAGTTGACTAATGAGATACTCACTAACCAACTCACGAGTTACATTAAGTCATAGGCTAGTGATATAGTAGATGTTAAGCTTTTTCAAGTAGAACCATTGTGTTCATATACTTTCTATCTTTGTTTATGTATGAGACTAGAATTACCTCGAGGCTCGATATATGTTATGTTTTGACATTTTTGTTGTGTTGATTCTAGGTGAGATGTGGTATCTATTAATGTCCTCAATATCTTTGCTTGTTTATGAGACTAGATTCAGCTTGAGGCTCGGTTTAATGTTATGTTATTATCATGTTTTGGCATTTTTTGTTGTGTAGATACTAAGTTTGTTGTGGTATACATTGTGTCCTTAATATCTCGGAGGCTTGATTATTATGTTATGCTCTTATGTTTTCATATTTTGTTGTGTAGATTCTAGGTTCTGCGTGGTATCTATTGTCGATAGAACGCCAAGCGACGTGTTGGAAAGCAGAATGTCATAAAGAATTAGCGTCTCCACAATGTGTTACGGACTTCTTTGACTGTGGTACATTGCACCGTGACGATCGGAACATCTGGCAGAATACAACCGTTGTCTTCAGCAATTGCGATCCTTCGAATAATATCCAATTCACATTCGGGATTTTCGCGGATGCTCTCACCAAAAACGTGGTTTCCTCGCCTTTCTTGGAGAAATACTTGTATTGTTTGTGGTTTGGACTGCAGAATCTAAGGTATATATACATTCAGCCATTACTGTTCTTTGTCGCTTTACGGGGTTTTTCTTACACTGCTTTCTTGTCAAAGTTCTTATGGACAGAATCTGAGCACAAGTACCTCTGTTCTTGAGACAATGTTTGCTATCCTTGTGGCTATCTTTGGTCTAGTTTTGTTTGCTCTTTTAATCGGAAACATGCAGGTAAAAACGTGAAATCTCCGTTCTTGTTATAGGTAACAAGATAGAATTATTTTGTTGATTTTGTTTTGGTTGATGTATTATAGACGTATTTGCAATCGATCACGGTGAGGCTTGAGGAGTGGAGACTTAAGAGAAGAGACACAGAAGAATGGATGGGACATCGACTACTGCCGCAGAATCTTAGAGAACGAGTGAGGCGTTTCGTGCAGTATAAATGGCTGGCGACTCGAGGTGTTGACGAAGAAACCATTCTTCATTCATTACCCGCAGATCTCCGTAGAGACATCCAGCGCCATCTCTGTCTCGATCTTGTTCGTCGTGTAAGTCTATTCACCACTCAGCTCAACACATTCCAACTGGTTTAACGGTTTTTCAGTTTTTATGCACACCCTTTGGTCTGACTCGTTGTTATTGTACCGATTTTTTCAGGTACCGCTATTTGCACAAATGGATGATCAGTTACTAGATGCAATATGTGAACGGTTAGCATCATCTCTAAGCACACAAGGGAACTACATTGTACGTGAAGGTGATCCAGTGACGGAAATGCTCTTCATTATCCGTGGAAAACTCGAAAGCTCGACGACTAATGGAGGCAGAACCGGTTTCTTCAACTCAATCACACTCAGACCAGGAGATTTCTGTGGAGAAGAGCTTCTTGCATGGGCATTGCTTCCAAAATCAACAGTAAACTTACCATCCTCAACAAGAACGGTGCGAGCCTTAGAAGAAGTTGAAGCCTTTGCTTTACAAGCAGGTGATCTCAAATTTGTGGCTAACCAATTCAGGCGTCTACATAGCAAGAAGCTGCAACACACATTCCGTTATTACTCTCATCAGTGGAGAACTTGGGCTGCTTGTTTTGTACAAGTCGCGTGGAGACGGTATAAGAGAAAGAAGTTGGCTAAGAGTCTTAGCTTGGCTGAGTCATTCTCATCTTATGATGAAGAAGAAGCTGTGGCGGTTGCTGCAACTGAGGAGATGAGTCAAGAAGGAGGAGCACAAAGCGGCGCTAAAGCTCGCCATCATACTTCTAATGTGAAACCGCATTTTGCTGCAACAATACTTGCTTCGAGGTTTGCTAAGAACACAAGGAGGACAGCTCATAAGCTCAAGGATGTCGAAATACCGATGCTGCCTAAACCGGATGAGCCGGATTTCTCAGTGGATGATTGATTGATTTGATTAACCGTTTTGATATAACTTTATGTGAATCTTTTTTTAAGTTAGAAAATCAGTTTGTTAAAATTCAAAAAAAACTTTGCTGCTTGAAGTAATTCACAAAAATGTTCAGCAGTTTGTATAAATATACAGAATAATCATCTGACTATTTGTATTCGGAGATCATTGGATCAAACAAGATCATCATCAAAGTAGATCATTATTGAGATTCACACATCTTTGGCTCTGAAAAATGCTTAATGTTTCTTCTGTAGTTCTGCCGACACTTTCTCTCCACGTTTGGACACAGATCCATATGAGTCCAAGTCCAGACAAAAACATATTTTTTATTCTTTCTTGTTCTAGTTTTGTCGGATCAGAATCTGGTTTTCTTCTTTAGTTATTAATTTAGAGATCAGAGAATGCAATAGGAAGATAGATGAGTATGTAACAATGTGAAGTTAAACCAGAAAACAAAACACAGAGGAAGAGCTTTAAAGACAAAAAAGCTGTTTCATCAGACATTAAGCAACAAGCTCCTGAATTTTGTAGATACTCTATATACTGGTAAAGTTATAAAGTGTGGCTTAAACTCTAACCTACCAAAGATTAATCACAACGGAGAGAAGAAACCAACCAAAATTAAAATAAAAAAATGCCTAAAAACTATGGCTAACAGGAGAAGTAAACTCACCGAGTTAAGTAAACTCACCGTTCCATGATCGTCTAGCTACGGGTGACAAGCTCAGGTCATGGAATGTTGGTGCTTAAGTTGGTTGTGTTTTTAAGGAGTCATCTGTTTTTCTCGTGCCCATATTCTTCTCAAGTTTGGTCGTCCCTCATGAGAGGTATCCTTCTCAATCGATATACTACAAACTGGAATTTACTCACGAGTTAAAGGATTGCCACATCCTTTATATACTACCCAAAGATCTTAATCCCAAGCAATGTGGGACATTCTAATAGGCCTCCTCGAGATGTGGGTGGGAAACGGTCCAACGGAAAACAGCCCAAGCCCAACATCTCGGAAATACAACAAGACATGCCACTTATATGGGTCACATAGGTGGAAAACCATTTTTGTGGGAATTTGCTTGTTGGGCCAACCTTGGGCTCTGATACCATATTAGGAATGTGGCCTAACTTAACCCAAAAGCTAGCTCAAGAGTTAAGGATTGCCACATCCTTTATATACTACCCAAATCTTAATCCCAAGCAATGTGGGACATTCTAATAATGTCTCAACCGAAACTTCAAATTTTCACTATAAGGTATGTTTTTCAACTAACGATCCATACCCTTTGGAGAGAACGCAATGGAAGACGACATGGTGAAGGTCCTATATTCCGTGTGCTAAGCTCATCCGACTTATCAACAAAAATATATGTAACCATTTCAGCACCATTCGTTCATTAGGTAATTCAGACTATGAAGAAGGTCTTCGCTATTGGTTTAGTACCCGTAGCCACTAGTGTTGGATAATTTCATTACCTGAAAAGCAAATTATCTCTTTCTAGAAGATGCTAAAAGAGATAGGAAAAAAGGAAATGTACAAATAATGGCAAGTAGGATAAGTTTTGTAAGATTTCCTTTTCATAATAGGATTAGGAGAAGCTAAGATCTATTATAAATAAGAGCCTTATGGAGAGATATTAAGAGAGTTTAGAGGCTTTGGAGAGTTGTTCTATAAGACCTAGAGAGAGACCTTGAGAGAGATTTAATTTTGAGAAGTTTCTAAATCAATAAAGAAAGGTCGTTCTTTAATTTAGTCTTTCAAGTTCTAGTTGAATCGTTGAATTACTTCTTGAATCATTCAGCGACTTCATCAAAATAAAGTGATCTTGATTTGAAGTAGACCACATTCATAATTGTAATCCTCTGTTTTTAGACCATTCTCTTTTTGAAAACTCAACAATAAAAGTTGCATTTATTGTAAAAATGTTTTTTAAGAATTAATTTTACATTCATTCAAAAAAAAAAAAAAACTCCTAACTTCTTCAGACTAATTAAAATAATTCATTTTTAATCTTAGTAAATTATGGTTCGAACTTAGGTCATCTTCTTTGCCATGGGCCGAACTCGCGCTGGCTTCGCTTTCTAATGATGATGAAGATAAAGATGAAAGGAGTAAATACACCCTCAAATAAGCAGTCCAACTAATTTAAATAAATTAACTTGTTCCATGGAAGATTTTGCATTTTCTTTTTGTCCTTTGATGTTGCTAAAGTTCAGTCACATCTCTTATCTGTAAATTGGCTACACTGATAATTTGATACACAGAAAAATAATCTAAAACTCAAAATCCAGATTCAATACCTCTAGTTTCAACCATTGAGTTCTGGTTTTTCGTTTTAAATGTTAAAGATGTATATAAATTTGTTTAGAACAAAATTAGAATGGCCTTACAAAAACAAAAACTTTTTGTTGAATTAGAAACGCAATTACTCTCCTGCAAGTCAAAAAAAAAAAAAATACAAGGTCATTAAATTCCTTTCCTTTCTCCTAATTTTTAGTGTTTATAAACACTGTTTATGGAATACCTTGTATTTTCTTCTAAAAAAAGAAACGAAATTTCTTTATATAGAAGAATTAAATGTTTCACTAAATGCATTCATCATTTCATCTAATTCATAAGCAGAAAAAAAAAACCTAAAAAGAAAACAAAGAACAATGGCTAGCAGTGTAAATGGTGTCGTGTTTGTCGTCAGTTTAATGATTGTTTTATTAATTTCGACAGGTAAATTTTATTATAAACAATCATTTCATCTAAGCCACAACTATTGTATAATTATTTACAAAATACTTTAGAAGTGTAGTATATAAAAATTAGTAATTACAATTTCTTTCATTTTAGGATTAATAATTTTGCTGTATAATTTTCTTTTTATAGTTTTCACAGATTTTTCCTTTTTTTTTTTTTTTTTTAATTTCTGTATCTTTTAACAAAATTTTCCTTTTTTATAATATTAATTTTATTATATATTATATTTTTTGTACATGCCAAAATTTTCAATCATTTTATTATCACGTGTTGCGATCATATTATTTAGCAACTTTGAAGGATCAAACTTTAAATAATAAGATTTGTTCAAATAGTTCCATAAGTTTTAGCATTTTAAATTAAAAATATTATATAATTTTCAACGATAAATATAAATAAAATTGAAAATTTAAATATTTATTTGACATATACATTTACATTTTGCAAATATATATCATAAGAGCATTGAAGTGTTTTGTTAAAAACAAAACAACTTTTCAAACAAGCCCTTTAAACATGACATCACAAATCTAAAACCTAACTTCTTAAACTATCCCGTCCAAGTCATGTGATTTTTTCTACAATAAATAAGTTTGTTTTGATTAAGATCTAATCAATAAAACTAAATTATACATTTTAATTAAAATGATTTAAATACTTCTTACTTTATCAGGAATACAAAATGGATATGCTCAAAGAGTTACAACTTATTGTGAGAAAATACGAAGCAGGTCAGCACCACATGACATTTGTAAGAAAAAAAATGGCAATGCGTTGTGCAAAGAGACGTGTTGGATAAGAGAAACTTATCAGAATGGAAGATGTCTAATTCTTCCAAAGACGACAAAATTAGATTGCTACTGCTACCATTTCGACGATGGATCCAAATGCTGAGTCTAAAACCCATAAGCCATGCAATCAATTAATATTTATAACTATTATGTGTCTTTTTTTTTTTTAAGAAATATTTTTGCGTTTTCATATATACTTTTTTTTTTGGACAAACTAACTTGCTTTCATTCATTCAAACATTTACAAAGAGAAGAATTTCAAGAAACCCAAAGTTTAAAACATTACAACAAAAAGCATTCCCCAATGCAATAAAAAGATAGATAAGGTTCATCGATTTTAAATTCATGAAAGCTTTGAGACAAGGGCTTGGAAGCACATTGAGACATGTGAGATCACGGTGAATCGAGTGATCATCCTCGAGGGATTCGAATGACGACAGATTGGTCATGGTCAAAAGACGCTGTGACGTTGCTGAATGAATCAATGTTACGTTTCTCATCGGAGTGAGCTGCAGTACCCATGGTAGCGCAATAACAAGGATTCGAGAGACTATGGTTCTATAGTCGGTTGAGGATAGCTTTGAAACCCAAAGCAACAGGTTTAGATCTCTCCGATAAATCGCGACATGAACTTTGTAGCATAGGATCTGAATGATGGAGATGGTGGTGAGGTTAAGATGCTTGAAAACGACATATGAGCTGCTTGGTGAAATTTGGACACTGAACCAAACTAGTCCAATACCACAATTCACACTCCGGCAAAAACGGTTCGAGATAATTAAATCATAGTTCTTCAAGCCTTTGTAAGCATACCACAAGTCCCTAAAAACAACTAATACCAGGATTCGTATAGAATATATGCAAAGCCAAGGCAACAATGGTGATACCTCTCTCACATAGAGTCCTCGACCATGGAGTAGAGGAGATCGACACAAATAATGACTTGGGCTTAACATAAGAATAATGAAAACGGACCTGAGAATATTAGCCTTAAGATTTTTAAACCAACTAATAGGCTTGGGCCTTCTTGGTGGGATTGGGCCAAAGTTGGAGAATAGGTCCACTGGGGAAAACCCTAGTTTCACTTTGGATTGCCACGACAGAAGAAGAATGCGGCGGCTGTCCGAGACTTGCGAAGAGATTTGCGGTGCAGGGATCATCTCCGATGAGTGAAGAATTGGCGGGAACAGACGCTGGCCGTGGTCCGAGTATGAGGCATAGCTCCAAGGATTCATATCCTTTCCGGCATGATAAGTCAGATCCCAGCAGAATTGCTCGCCGTGCGCCGTCGACGTCTCCACCGGGCATGGCGCAACTGACGATCCAAAAGGGAGACCTCCTGTCATCAACGAAGCCCGGTGTGAGGGTTCTTCAAGGTTGAGACGATTATCCGAGTAAAGTAAGACCATAACGAGAGATTTTTGCGGTAAATCCTCGCTTAAAACCGGAGGTTTCAGGGCAATTAGATCCGCTAAGGGGGCTGCGAGGTAAAGGTAGAGAAAAGGATTTGTCAGTTCCCTTATCTTTCCTTCTTCGCTTAATGATGAAGAGCGGCCCGAATGCAGTGCGAGGTGATACAAAGCGTTTAAACGTGTTCGAGATGGGTGAAACAGAGGAACAAAAGTGGGGAAAACCTTCAAAAGAGGAAAACTAAAGAAAGAAACTAAGAAAGAAAAAATGTGACGCCGAGTGAAAAGGAAGATGGGATCCCGACACCGGCGAGCAAAAGCTACGCCGGCGCCGGAAAAGTTTCTTAAAGAAGATGCTTCGATAGTCGTGTCTGAGAGAAAACGTATTATGAGAGACTTTTTGCTTGACTTTTATTGCGTTTTCTTATATACATGTAATAAATTTATAGTTGATGAAATAATCGAAAAACATAGGTCGTTCTTATAATTAGGACATAAAGGCTTTGTGGTTTTTAACTTTTCTTTTGAGAAATTAATATATAACTTTGATGATTTATAAATCGGCGACCAAAATCTGTTCAATGTGAGGTGGACCTTACCAATATGTGGTGTCTTTGCGGCCTTGCCTATAAAATAAATATGTAGTTGTATTGGGAACAAGAATGTTTAGGGCTATTTATTTTCCAAAGACGGCTAAAATTCCAGAAGGTTTCACTCTCTTGGTGAAGCTGTGGTGGCAAGGCGACGGTTTGGTGACGGTGGCGTCTTGTGGTTCATAGAGATGATGAAGACAAGATTAGGAGAAGCTTCCTTATAAGTTGCTTCCGGGTGACCCTCGTCCGAGCCCTCTTTTTTGGTGATATTTTCAAAGTTTCTTGGCAATTGCGGCGGTAGATTTCGGCGGCAGTGGGTGTTTTAATTGCCAGAGATTCATGACTAAGGCCGCTTGCCTTGAGGAAGTAGGCAGTTCTTGAAAGGAGCTCTCCAGTGGTGGCTAAATGGCAACAAATCAGTGACCTTTTTAGCCGCTACCAAAAAGCCGTGGCTAGACAATGGCGGATTGCTCTTTTCTTGTAGGCGATGTTCCACGGCGACAAGGGCAACTCATTTTTTGGGTTTCTCTCTGGCTCGGTTCTCTCCTCTACTCTATAGTGTCTCGTTACTTTCTTGGTGTTTGCCTCGGTGGTTCGGTGGTTGCTGTCGGCGGAGAAGGTGTTAGGAGCGGTGATGAGAGTTTCTGGAGCTTGAACCACCGGAGTCTCATGAGCAAGTGGTTCTTAAAAAGAGAACTCCAGTGGCGGCTGATCTATAGTTTTCTGGTTTGCCTTTGGATCCGCTCTATATCTTCTCAAAAGTATTTTAACTTTTCCTAGGCGATCTTTCCAGCGGTGATGTGAAGGAGACATTCGATTTCATCTCGCGGTGGTGACTTTCATGTTTTGTTTCCAGTTCATGTGTCTCTCGTGGCCGAATCTTTGAACTCGGAGGCTGTGGCGAAGCCGTTCTTCGATCTGGGGATGGCACCAAAAAAAATATTTGATATTTTCATTATTATTATTTAATATATATACATATTTATTTTTTAAGATTTCTATTTCAATATTTGTTTTGCTATATAAATTATTGTTTCTTTTGGAGTAATGGTTTTCCATTGATATTTTAATTAATAATTTACGAAGGGTATCCTTGTAATCAACAAATATTGTGTTTAAACTTTGATTGTTTGGGTTGGCATTTTACAAAATTCGGAAAATATACAGTCAAATCGGGATATCATTCTATACGGATGGAGAAGTCGGAGACCAACTTAAACTTTTTTGGCCCTAACATCAACCCGTTAAAAGCATATTCTTGGCAAGTGTAGTGTCCACCTAAGATACGCCATTTCATATGGAAAATCTTAACGGGAAGTGTACCGGTTACAGAAAATTTGCGGAAAAGAGGAATTGATTGTGACACGGGATGTGCCAGATGTGGCGCATCAGAGGAAATGATCAATCATACACTCTTTCAGTGCCACCCGACACGGTAGATTTGAGCACTTTCACAGATTCCTACTGCTATGGGGATTTTTCCCACAGAATCTAATTTTACGAATTTGGATCACTTATTTTAGAGAATACCTACGGAATTTGATTCATCAGCCTTCACATGGATTATTTGGTATATTTGGAAAGCAAGGAACGAAAAGATCTTTGAAAACATAGATACAGACCCAGCAGAAGTATTACGATTAGCGGAAAAAGAGGCACAATTGTGGCAGTCAGCTCAAATTGAGCTCCATAATGAAAATCATGGTTCTGTGGACTTGGTAAATCAAGATCGAGTGAGGGATATTCCACTTGAAGCGGAGTATTCGGGATACCGTTGTTTTGTGGATAGATCATGGAAAGAAAGTGATACGTTTTCCGGTATAGGCTGGTTCTGTACATCGTCAAATGGAGAGCCGCCAACCATGGGAACTGCGAACCTCCGTAGAAGTCTATCTCCACTACATGCCGATGTCGAGGCCCTTCTCTGGGCGATGAAGTGTATGATTGGTGCAGATAATCAAGAGGTAGCGTTCTTTACAGACTGTTCAGACCTGGTGAAGATGATGTCTTCTCCAACCGAATGGCCGGCGTTTTCAGTGTATTTGGAGGAATTTCAGAGCGACAAGGAGGAGTTTTCATCTTTTTCTTTATCTTTAATTTCTCGTAGGGCTAATAGTAAGGCGGATAATCTGGCACGAAAAGTTCGTACAGAACCGCTTCATATCACCTATGTAAACAACATTCCTCAAGAATGACTTTTTTGAGTTCTAATTAATTGTGGATGACAAAAAATAAATAAATATTGTGTTTATCACATTAATTTTTTTTTCTTTGCTTCATTTGGGGAATATTTTTTTCTGTTTCGCATCCAATAGATTTAGCCATTGGCGTTCAGGTACTTGTTTGAATTCAGATCAGATATTGTAGGTTCGGATTGGGGTTATCCAAAGTTTCTTAAAATAAAAATAATTGTATTAAAATCGGTTGAAACTACTCGAAAATTGTTTTATGTTTCAAAATTGATCTCATTGATATGAACTTATGATTATCCTTATTAATCTGATGCTTGGAATGATTACCCTTAATCTGATACTCCCAGAATGAGAAATGGGAGTCAGAATTTGGCAGTTCCATAGCAGCGAGTTCAATCTGATTTGCAGACTTTTGGAGTGTAATTGAATGGGTCTTATTGTTTTCCAGTGAGTGTAAGATATGTTGGAAGGAAGCTTTAGTGTCTCTGTTTGTATCTCTATGTGGTTAAATAGGCAAATCAATTACCTCCAATAGGAACCTTAATATGCTATTTTAGATTTGACTTAACGTTGCACATTCTTCATCTCTATGATATTATCACTAACCAAATATGTACGGGAATGCTATGGAACTCTCTAGGTTTTTGGTGACAAGACTGTGGACAAGTATGGTAAGAATTTTAATTAAACTAATTTTACAGCTCGGACATTATATGTATTCTCAAAGTGAGTTTAATTTCTCATTAGCTTACAAGTGACCAAACTTGATACTACTGTAATTTTTTTACATTTGTGTTCCTAAAACTGTTTTGTTGATTGCTTTCCTAAAACAAAGTAAGTAAAATGTCTCTGTTTCTTGTATGTTAAAACATAAAAGTGCTCATCTATAAATGTGAAGTTCAACCAAAATGGACCAACAACTGTCTTATAGAGTTCAGCTTTTATGAAGATATGATAATTTATACTCTGTAAACTTCAATTTTCCAATGCAGAAATCCGAATCTTTTTTATATGTTGAGTGAATGATCATTACATGGTTTATTTATATAAGTCACACTCCCAACTTTTGGAGGAAATTTAGTTGAATGTTAATGAGGATAGTCTAAGACCATCTCTGATGATATTTTTTTTTGAGAATATCTATACATAAATTTAATTATAAAATACTAATATTATATTGAAAGTTTTTTAAAAACAACAACAAACTCAATAAAAATGTGAATAAGCCTCTCTCTTCTTCTCACACCTATTTTTCAGAGAGAGAGGGCGATTTCCGGTATACCGGAATTCATATTCCGGCGATACCGTTTTTTGTTATAAATACTGTTTATGATTCTAACCGGATTCTCTTTTCCGTTTGTCGGTTTGTTTTCTCCAGCTTTCCGGATAATAATTTCCGACTTAGTTTTTACTAAGCTTTCGGAGCTGTTTCTTTCTACAAGATCTCATCGGATCCCGCATGCCATCGTTTGATCTCCCCGTCCCTCGTTGGCTTAATTCCAATCTCCAACCAAAATAATATCTTCGCCGACTTCTCTGACGAGGACCTTGATTAGGTCATAGGTGGAGCTTCTGCTAGGGTTCTGGGTTAAGATGATGAAGATCTAAAGATTCTTCTTGCGGTTACCTCAAAATTACGAAAGCGGTGGAAGTCAATCTGATTTGCAACGGCGAGCTTTGTAGAAGGAGTTTCGGTGGTTGATTCGTGAAGCCATCGGCGGAGTTTGCACCGGATCGTGGATTTCAGGCGGCACCGTTCGTGTATCTCTCTCCTTCTCGCGTCTCAACACATGTTGTACATGCGTCACCTTTTTTTCTTAATCTTATCAATTTAGGTTTGATTAAGCAGAGTTAATGCTAATTAGGGTTGTAAACGTTGGAGTTTGGGCTTCGTTTGGACACCACTTGTATAGCCCATTGGGCTTTTATCAATACAACTGTTGGCCGACAAAAAAAAAAAACTCAATAAAAATGTTTTAACGCAGACACTTTAATCATGGTGTCTCATATATTTTCCAAAAAAATTATCTAACAATATTAATATTTTATATTTTAATTATATGTTAAGGCACTCACTTCAATATGTCTAATGGAGATGGTCTAAAGGCTTTGTTGTTGTATCCTTTTAAAAGAAGAATAAAAAACTCTGGTTTCCCATAAACTCTGGGCATTATTAAGAATTCAACATATTTAAATACATCATTTATTAAAAAAAAAAAAACGGCATTACCGACCACTAAGGGTCGAGTTGGTTACATCGGGCACCGTCCAATTTTCTTCGTTTTGCTGTTTTGAAGATGAGGAACCAATCTCAAAACGACTTCTACTGAAGAGAGAACCAGGCCGTTCAGGCTGATTCATCTCTGTTTTCTCGCTTGTAAGCATCAAAATCACAGACGACATTGCCGGTCTATCCTCTGCAGAATCTTGAACACACAAGAGTCCAATTTGAATGCATCTTAGAACCTCATGTGGTCGAAATGTTGACGATGAATCAACGATTACCGGATCTACGATCTCGAGCCCTTTTCCTTCCTTCCAGTGCCTCCATATCTGTTCATAAATACAAAGCTGTTAAGCGTGTTAATGTTTTGAGTTTTGTGTTTACGATAGT